GCAATGCTACACCCTTAATATTCAGGTTCATTATTAAAGGTAAAGATGTCAGAAACTTACTCGGTTTGGTGAGAAGGATTGCACTGAAAAGGCCAATTTCGACGTCACTAAGATTCAGTGCACAAAATTCGGCGGCAAATTCGAACATCGCACACGTTAATTGAGGCTTGTAGGAAGAATGATCAAAAATTATTTTTAGTAAAAATGCTCGCCACCAGCATCATGTGTAACACCACTATTTTTCGCCTGAGCTCGCACATCACACATGTGGGATACACTCTGATAAAAGGAAAACACGGTGAAAACAATTGGCACCATTTTTGAACATTAAAAGCTTTGGACTGCTACGGTCGATTTCTTCATGAGATCTAGACGAACAACGCGTTGAAACTATTTGACCCACATGGTCTTGCAATATGGAAACCGGTATTTCAGAACATCATCGCTGAATAAGGAAAATGCAAAAATGTGTACTTAATCGTAGTGTATTTTCTATGCACTCAGAACACCTCATAAAGATAGATGGAATATTAAAGTGATGTTGGAGAGTTTAAACAACATGACTTTTATTTTGTCGCCTTACTTCCCCTTTTTCTCAATCTACCAGGCATTTTATGAACAAGATTTATAGAAAATTGCGATCCTCTAATTAGCTGTAACCTGGGCAAATAAAAAATATTTAACAATTACTTGAAATGTTATTTGCTGAAAAGGTATTTCACATAGGAAAAAATACCTAATATCATAGTTAGAATGATAAAGAGTAGATATACTGCAATTTACAAACGAAAGAGGTATGTAGAACGAATGCAAGATCGTGGACAAAGCATTTTGAATGTATGTGTGGAAAATGTAACTCCTTTTGGAATATTTCTAAATATTCTCATAGGTCACACGGATGACCATCTCAGGCAAATAACGGCCTAATGCACAGACACGGAGGATAAAAACATCAAAGTCTACCACGGTAACTGGAAAAGTCGCTCAACACAGGGGACTGCGTGATGCTAGTGACCATAACCATTATACGTGTTACCAAAAACCAGGATAAACCTCTGCGTTTCTATGCAAAAAGTGAGATGTGTAATTGCGCATAGCAATGAAACACCCTTTTGATCATTGAGGAATAAAATGTGGTCAAAAACAGGTTGTGACAAATTTCGCCTTAATAAGTCAACCGAGTTAAGAGACGAAAGCAAGCGGAAACGTTTACATATTCGTAAACGTACCGTGTAGATAAAATCCAGTTCCGTCCTGCAGATAATATGTCCATTGCAGAGCATGATGGTCTGCTCCGGGTAAGAAATCGTACGTGCGGCTTGAACAACCCACACTTCTGGAAAGGCCGCTTTCAGCAACGCCAGTTGGTCCGGTTGGGTGAGTGAAACGAAGTTGGGAATGGCTTTAGCAAATTCAACCACACTTTGTATGTGAAGAGCGATGGCTGGACTGAGAGCCTCATGCATTCGCAGACGAGTTTCATCAAGCTTGAAAGGAGGGAAGCCACCCTCCCTGGGCACCTATGCAAATAGTCATTTAAGTACTTCCATTCAATTCTACTATTGTACCATAATAACTTTGTCACGTCCAAAAAAGTCTTACACTGTGGTTTTAGCAGTTTTTTTGTGCATATTTTGAATTCAAAACAAAATCTGGTATGTTGTCAACCGGATCACGGTTACGAGAGGAGACCAAGCATTTTCAGTCTCAGTGGAGTTGAAATTACCTCATAGAGTGGAGAAATATACTTTATTCAAATGTTTTGGTAATAGTAGATAGTGTATATTGGCATGAAAGTAAAAGCCATCAGAGGCATGGCATGTATAAATCTGATTGGCCATTCTAAAAGCACGCACACACGCACGCTGCTTGGGGTCATCGTAGTACGCATGCACACATACACGCGCACACACATGTTCAAACCGGAGTCGTTGTTTACATTTTCAAAACACGCACTTAATAGAACTAATTTGTACACAGAAAATTCATTTAGTGTAAACCGACTAGAACGAAGATCAAAAGCGCACAGTCTGGGAGGAGTGGAAATCCTTTTTTTCAAAATAACCGTACCATTGTGTACTCTAAAAGATAGCTTCAGAAATAAAATCAAAAGTGGTGTTTTAATAAGTGAAGCTTTGATGGAAAACATTCGTTTTAGTGTCGAACACCCACAAAATCAATCAAAATACGTTCGTTTAATATATTTCCCATCTTTTTAGAATTGGCATAAGAAAATTATGAAGAGAACAGTTCATCAATAAGAGCAAATGTTCTTCCTCCATACACTGGAACTTTTTGGGTGTTAATCCTACAAATAAGTGTAAAAGACAGTGGAGCAAATGCGCGATGACTGACCCAGGTCAGCGCAAAAATAGCTTTCAATCTCTCAGCCATACAGTTCCCACGCTCTAAATCGTGTGTGAATTATGAATGTTACAATTTTGGAATCGCACATTCTAGTCACCATGTCTTACCAATTGATGAGTTTCACAGCCTGCCCTGTTTTAGTTGACTGACACAAACTTGACAGTCTAGTTTGGTTTTAATGAACACTGCAAGGGAATACGGATTTTACGTGTATACTGAAATGAGGAGGGGTAGAGATGTTTTGATCCACCATGCGTGTTGTGAAAATGCTTCAAACACCTTCCACCGCATGTGGGGGGGATATGTGCTTTGAAGTGGGTCTGGTATACAGAAGAAATTTTGTCGAAGCGATCCAGACATTTGATACTCACATTAACCCTGCTTTTGGAAACCATGAGCAAAACCATTGCACAAATGCTTCTTCATTAAACACAATCTTCAATTGTGACCAGCAAATGAATAAATACATATGCACACTGAAGAAATGGAAACAAAGTATTTTAGAGGAAAAATGTCTCTCTCTTGTGTACAATAGGATATTTTAGTGGAATCCTGCACCTAAAATGTTCACAACGTAATATCAAAATTAATACTCATTTTTCAGCCAAAAAAAGTGGTTTTCATGAGAGCATGTGATAGAAATACCACTCCATAATTACATGGAAAAAATTGCAAGATGATTCTAAATCATGGGACATGGTTAAGGAGCTCAGTGGCGCATAGCTTCATGCACAATAAGAAACGCCTGATTAGGGGGCAGATTGATTACATCATCAAAACGTAAGGCTCTCAAAATGGGCTTTGTAGGTAATGAAAGCTGTTTTCATGAGTGCTGTGGGTGTTTCTGCCTCCCCTTCGCTCCATCGGAGTGAGACTCGAACAGCTGCTTCGGCAGAGGACACAACAGCTGGGATATAATGAATGAGGTTCCTCCTCTCACCACTCCGTCACCTCGCCCTTGCTTAAATTTGCGCGAAAAATGACATAATGATAAGACATCCAGGCAGTGAATGCGTGTGCGAGTAGTTGGAATGGAGCGACAGAACACAGCCAGTCACCAGGGGACCAGCTCCAAAGCTGGTTACAGGACATTGTCATCGCATCAAAACCGCGGCAAAGACACCGCACAGAAGCTTGTGCAAGCATGTTGAGCCTTTATGGACATTCAGCGATGATTACTTTGATGAGTTGCAACATGTTAATAATTGGCGAGTTACCATCATTACCCAGCTTAATGAATGATCTGGGAATATTGAATTTCATCATTTTGACTATTCATTAGTTTAAAAGTATTTGCCAAGTAGTAAAACCCACAGTTATGGGAATTTATCACCAAGACAGCCCAATGCTAAACTTACCTGACTAGACAACGTGGAAGAACACAGCATCATTCTTAAGTGACGCAACAAATAAAATATTCCTGCCCAATTAATCCCAATTTACTAGCGGAGTTTAATCGACTTCTTACTTATTTAGTTGGGTTTGAATATGAAGTTTCATCACTTGCATGCTACCAACTAGGATTGAAAAGAGATGATTTGGAGAAATCAATTATCCATCAGATTTATGAATTGATGGACTAAAAGTAACGGTGATTAAAGGTGTGTTGTATCAAAAAGAGCATCTATGGCAAGTCATTTGGTCGTTGCCAGCCCAGCGGATAAATCTGATGTTGTTTCAAGTGTGTAGCCAAATGAAAATTTGCTGCCTACACCCCCGCGCCCGGCACATATCTACACAACAATAAGTTGCACCGCGGCTGTGCAAGTGTGGACCAATCGGCACTTCGCAATTCTCGCGTGGATGTATTCCTATCCCTACCCCACGTGAGAGCGTAAAGCAGACGGGCGCGCCAACGCGCTCAGCCAATCAACACGGAGAACACGGTTTGCGCACACAAGAAAGTCGACACGGCGCGCACGCGCACTGCGACAAATGGGGTGCGCCTGCTAACTCTTTCGCGCATCTCTACCACCATCAGTAAAATAGTTAAGCGGAGTGAAATGAATTAAATAGCTCCCAAATCATCCCAATATGCGGGTTTTTCAGCGCAACTTTCAATTTAGAATAGGATTTTGGCGGCAAAATTAGGATGTCCCACAATGCAGTCGCCACGATTAGTTACATATTTTAGGAGATAAATTGAATGCTTTCTGCATGAAAACCGACTGCATTAAATACCGTTTAAAAGTGCTTGAAGAATCCTGGTCATGTGTGCATAATTTAACTGAGTGAGTCAAAGATAAATGTTTTACTACAACGCACGACAGCACACCTACACACGCCAGACGTCTGTCTCGGGGTCACTGTGGTATGTTGAAATTTTCACGTCATGGGCACGCATTAAAAGCCCACTTGAATGACCTAGTCAGGTGTGCTCACCTGAGCGAGGGGAATAGTGGGTAGTGGTATCCTGACACGCCGGAATCGTACATGAGTTAAAGTGCAAATGCGGAGGAATGTTTCCTCGACTTAACTTTACTTTCTACTGCGATTCCTCCATTCCATTGACTATTTCAAACAGCATGTTTAAATCATTACAGCCTGTTCGCTTTCTAAAAAATGTTCTCCGTTATTCGAATTTAAAATATCACCACCGGTGGATGTTTGCACCCATAAATAACTGTGTATAGCGTGGACTTTACTTACTTGCAAATATTTGAAAGAAACAGGCAATGCCAATGTGCTTGGTTGTAATTCATCTCAAATAGTCTAACCACAAATCAGACTAGCTGTTTACCATAAAATTAACGAATCAGCATAGAACGGCGATGGTGTTCTTCTGACCGTCCGGTACGACTAATGAGATTCGGGCCGAGAAAACTAAAACCAAGCCCTACCATCGACGCGACAAGATACTAATTTGGCTGTCCCATGAGCGAGTAATACAAATGGGTATTTCAGCGTTTGAAGTAGAACTCTCACAATTTCACCGGATGTCCCGCGTAGAAGGGTGTTTTAGAAGTATGCATGGGGAGAATGAGTAATTTAATGATTTATGTGCTACTTTTGTCCTTTTCCACCGAAGAGATTATCCGGAAAAGTGAACAGACGCTCTAGACTTGTGCTTAAACACCACCGCATGTCCACTTACAATAAAGTTAACACTTGGTGGTATGAACTAGTCAATAGTAGGGGTGAATGTGTGAATCAATGCATCATATTTAATAACCCGTCTACCGAGCACTATAACGGTAGTACTATCCTTTAATTCACGGAGAAAGCTCCGAGTTATTACTCAACTATAGCAATGTATATTTGTACAAGTACGAAGCCGGCATCAGAATAGAAGCGTGCACTATTTTAGGGTTTAATTATAAGGCTTAGACTCAGTCGTGTGTTCGTCAGCAGATTTGGCAAACGAACACATGGATTACACTAAAACACGAAAATTGAACGTCATTACCTAATGCAGCGAAATGGAGGTGCAACTAGTTCCATTAAACCGTAGTAAGATCCTTGAGCTCCAAAATCCTTAAAACGAAAATAAATCACCGGAATACGTAGGCTCAATCTGAAGTTCAACTGATGGAGGCTTGGATGGGAAATGTGCAGTACCGAAATCCGCCAAATTTATTTATAAATTTACTGGGAAATTGCTTTATATGACATATCAATGTAACGATAAAAACAATTCCTTATTCAACGGGGCAAATGTCCTTTACTGAAGCATTAGGGTCACACATAGCAAGGTCAACTGGAGTTGGTGGTTATAGCCAACCGAATATAAAAGTTCATTTAAGAAGAAGATAATATTCACCTTCCATAAATCTTATTGGTGTTTCCATTAGAGGTAGAACAAAATAGAATCGGATTTCAACGCTTCGGTTACCATGACAAGCTACTTACGATCATGTTGGATTTGGACTCAACCGAAAATGAACAATCTGTCTGTGCCCCCTTAGTCACCAAACTGATTTCGTGTGTATATAAAAGGACAGTGGCATAATTACCATCACAACACGGATTATTACTATTTTGACGCATGCACACAGACTTCGGGTCAAAGGTCACCCGGCGTTAACTTTAGCAGGTTTGAAAAAACACGACCGTAAAACCAACAAAGTACACCAGTTTTGTGGTTGACACACTGACACGAAAATTAGCCACTGATCAGATATAAAGGGAACCGCAGATTCCTTTTTATGGCACAATTAATCAACGCACTGAGAATCATTGATATATGCTCGAATGGGACGTCAGATAACGTCTAAACCTGTCACCACCATAGTATTTGGGTTCGAGAGACAAAAAAATGCATTAAGTTTCGACATACCACTAATAGAGACCATAAAACTGGCATAATTAGTTAAAGAAACAATGCCTGGGTAGAGGGTCGCCTTGGTTAATACATCGAAGTTTAGTTTCGCTACAGAATTGTGGAGTGAGTTATTAACCGAGGATGTTTGATGTGATGTGGCGGTGGCAGCGGCCGGGTACGAACACATGTCCATTACGTCATCGATTTTCTCAGCAATAGGCCAAAAACACGGGCCACAGCCCCACACCCACGAGCGCGCGCGCACGCACACGCTCATCCGCACACAGGCAGATGAGAGAGAAGACGCATGCGTGCAGAAGAGAGAGAGAGAGGAAGCCATAGAGAGGGCGCAGATGACCTTAGGGATGCACGTGCGCACCCAGCCGCAGTACCAACGCTGCTTTGGGAGAGCGCGCGACGTGCGTGCGTAGGCACGTCTCAGCAAATGAAATGTTCGTCCACAAGTCGATGACCTTAGCTGCATGCACGTACGAGCGTGCTTGCCCATATAGGATCCACACCAAGGAAATTCTGCGAATAGGCGATTTGTATGGGCATGCTTGGTAGCTTACTCATTGTGAGTGAACAATATTGAAATCTCGCGAAACCCTCCTTCTGATAATAACTGTTCGAAATGGATCACTTTGACCCGCTAAATTGGTTATTGCGACACATTTTGAAGCAAGTAGTTCGCTGCAAAACCATCGCCTCATCAGAACACCTCAGTCGGCAACTTAATATGAGATTACTATCATTCCAAGCTCAATGTATGACAAAATATGATAGACGATTATTCATAAATTTTACAAATAAATGCTTATCTATAGCTAAATGTTACGGGACAGCATGTATTTTGCTCGTAACGAGAAGACAGACTTCAGGTAAATCATGATTTAAACGGATGGTTTAACTCAAAATCAGCTTCGTAATAAACGAACAACGAAGTACCCCGTTAAGACTTTTCTACGATTATGCGTACGAGCTCCAGTTGGGTTGCGAATTAGGGGAGGTAACCACAAGGTGCTGGGTGGATGAGAGGGAGGAGAAGGATGGAGGAGTAGAGAGGGGTGGTACAGCCATAAACCGCACACTGGCTAAATGCGTCAGCGTTTTTATCGCTTCGACAGCGGCGGTTTCTTACGTGCCTTCAGGAAGCTCGGATTTAATAATGGTCTTGGCAATATGAATGAAATCACGATGCAGGTTTATATTATGCCATTGAACACGGTGGGACTGCTATGCATACTCGGCAAGAATTGCAATGTTTGCATAATACATGTGTGTGGGATGCATGATAGTAGAGTTAAGTCCTATAGTCACATCATCGGGTCAATCACACAGCATTCCTAGAGAAGATCAATCCCATTTTCAAGCTAACTGAATACCATCAAAAGTGTCTGCTACCAAAATATGGCGGTAGAGCACGGAGTTTTGCATAAGTAGATAGTGATCTGCTGCCGGCTATTAAACGTAAGGACGGATGAAAGGGAGACGATGGTGAGACCCTCAATCAGATGCGCACCTGTTCTATTCAATCTTAGCCAGTACCGTCGTAGGCACAGTGCGCACAATCATGAGAAAGGTGAATGGTTGACCTCAGTGTATAAAGCTTTAGAACATTCCCGTTTGTAATAGCATTCATTTGTGTTCATGCATTAATAAGCTCTTGATAAAGACAGACGGGCGGAATATAACACAGCGTATGCATATTGAAAAACACTTAGAAAGTTCTACTGTATGAGTACTCCAGGCTTATTGTTGGGTCATACTACTGTTAAATTGATCGCCCAAGTGCTCAGTCCGCATCTTATAAAGTGGGGGAACCTGAGATACCGCCAGCTGGATCAAATGACTGAGATAAATAGAGCTGGCCAATCAATCTAACTGTAATTTCGAACCAGAACTATAGCAATCCGACAGATGATGGAATGACACAAACTATGTGAACAGGAGTTGGCAAATGTTTACGACAAGCATTCGGGTAAGCAGATTGCACCTGAGTAAACAAATAAACACATCAATCCCAAAACAATGCAGCACTCCACTCCACCACAAATGGCGATTTAACCAGTATCCAAATGTGGATGTAGTCTAGTAGGTTTGGTACAAATAACCATTTTAGCTAAAGCAATGACCAAACAGGTTAAGTGGCGTTGTGTACTTTCTAACTAATTCACTTTGAATAATAACTTGGCGCCTTTTTGAAGGGTTATTACTAACAATTCCACTATGCTAAGGTATTTAAAGAGCAGCGTGGAGACGAAGAAATTGGTAATAAGATGAATGATACTGGGAGCCATCAGACAAGGGTGACTCTTGGGACTACCTAGGCACGGCCCAATACAAGTGCGCTACATGCACCAGAAACGACTTACCAAAGTAATTTTCATCGTCTTAAGCGCCTTAACACGCTGCTCAGTGTACGGACAGTGGTTAAAGTGTGCCTTCGCGACGGTAACGACGATGTTGTAGAGTGCAACCTCACTGGCATCTTTGGGTTGCCGGTAGGTGGGTGTTTCTGTGACAGCAGTGGCAGCAGGAGGGACTACGGAGGCGGGGGCGGCGGCAGCGCAGGCGGAGGAGGAGGGTGAGGAGTGTGTGGGCGTTTTTTGTTGCATTTGTGATGGACTATTCACTGACGGTGTCCTAATGGAACCTGAGTCGGGGCTACTAGAGCGACGCGGCATACGACCGTAACGCACGCTGTCCTTCGACATTCCTACGGCTATGCACTTACGGAAGCGGCAGTACTGACAGCGATTGCGGTTCAAACGGACCACCGTGCATTTTCCCTCTCGGAGACATTTGTACTCGATCTGCTTCTGAATACTTCGACGGAAGAATCCCTACGGAAGACAAAGCAAATTTCAAGCCCCATCCACGCCTAGTATCAGGGTGATCAATTACACAAGGAGGGAGCTAGGCGTATTCACTACTCCCAACCTAAAATGCATGACAAATCATCAACTTATCCTTTGTCATATGCTGCAGGTAAAAAATGATACAAAAAAAATCTTCATACAAAATCTCCCCTAGACACTAGATTGAGTTTTGAAAGGGTAATGCAAGCAACTGGAGCAGAACGAATAAGCATTTCTAGGATTGATAAATATGTAACGGAACAATAAAAACTACACTCCTGAATACGTAATGCAGAAAAATTGTATAAAAAAGTTGCAAGTACTAAATGGGTTGATAAAATGCAAATAGTTTGGTGAATCCGAATGAATTTACCACAACATTTATGCTTTTGACATTAAGGCAATGCTGAGTTCAGCAGTGGCCGAAGAGTTAAAACTGCTTGATTCAGCAATTCTACACGTTACATTTCACTCCTTTCTCACATTCACAATATCTGCTTCCACATCATGTACCATCTCAGTCGTAAAAAGGATGATGAGAAAATAGAAGTTGCACAAGCAACCGACCAAGGCTGTCACAATGGACTAATCTGTGTCAATTAGTTGTCACAGCCGCACATGACGCATGGATTTGAACGGTGTCAATTGGGTAGATCGACAGTCTCGTAGTCTCTTATTAACAAACATCACGATTAAACTGGATACCTATTTTCTAATTACTCCAACACGTCAAACAGCCAGCACAACAAAAAAAAATCTTGCATATGTACAAATTAGTACGGAAAGTGAAGTATTTTGCACCAGAACATGAAATCCATTGTAATCTATGGGAGACAATGCAGTCGAAAATTATAGATGCAAAGTCGAATGACAACTCACTGGAATTCACCTTGCGTTAAATTAACAATTCTAACGATAACAACTTCATGGGAGCTGAAGCTAAATCAAGTTGCCAACTGCACAGTCTCTTAACAAAGTGGTTATGGCATGTTAGAGGCCTTCATTTGTAACTCGAAATTCCGTCGGAGAATTCAATGCATGTTGAAGTGCTGTTGGATACTAATGAAGCTCAATGCTTTGTCCACCCAAATCTTCGTAAGTGATTTAGAAAGCAAGTAATATGATGCGAATTAGTAACAGCTTCAACCACAAAAAGCCGTCGATTCAGCAGCTAAGAGTGCATCCAGCAATCACTGACATGAAGCGATCGATATTGAGTGTATTGATGTGCCATCACAGCGAAATGACAATCAGTGCTGAAGCGTGTCTTTTGAGTGCGCTGGGGCGTGTCATGAATGCTAAGAAGACCTACGGGAAGGGAAATTCTTATAATATTGACATAGATTTGGGGGTTTTACGGCCGCAGGAGTAAATTGCATCGTGACTAAAAACCTTGCAGAGGTCCCAACGGACAACGACTTGCAGAAATGTCAGAATGCGGGAGGGTTAGAGGTGCGTGAAATAACTTCAACATCAAATGTGAGAAATTCCTCGCAGAACATATACAATCATATTTAGGTCCACAACGCATATTTCTATGAATACTTCGTTAAGATGGATAATAACCATAACACAGACCACTACCACACCGGTGGGAACCGGTGAGTTATCAATCATTGCTTTTGGTGGCCTGAAAGGCAAACCAGAGACTTACAAACGAAAATAATTTCACCGATTCGATATCATTAATAATAATCAAGTTCAAAGAACAAACGAATGAGCTCAATGTACAAATAGTAGGGAATATAATCAGCATAACCACGACCGAGGGTAAAAGCAGTAGGCGCATCATACAATACATGGATGGATTTATGAAAGCCGGTTTCAGGTGCAGCGATTGTAGTTGAGACGGAATGAACCAACCTTACGATTCAATACATTGCGTTATCAACACTATTTTCAAAATGCAATTTCACGCGCTTAAGTCTAGCATATTTCGGATTTTAATTTTACAAATGTTCTGAAAGACAATTCATAAGTTATAGAAAAGCGGACTTCGATACCGAACAAAGCCTGTTTTATTTAGAATTATCTTAGAGAGTAGGATTTTTGAATGTTCAAGGTGAAAGACATTTCATCCAGCTTAAAATACAACATAAAATGATGTGAAACCATGCCCGTTCTCAATATAAGCGAACATCTACGTGACCATCAAGAATCAAAGGCTACTATTATGTATTCCATCCCTTAACTGTAATGATGTAATGTAGGAGGCTAACATACCTTGCATCCTTCGCATGAAATAACACCATAATGATACCCGCTGGCTTTGTCACCGCAAACATGACACGGTGTGTAAGTGGCTCTTATGGAACTTGTAGTTGGACTGCTATCAGCAATCTGTATAGTCGTATTAGTGTTGGCCATGGAATTTGGGTAGGGATAGTTAGCCTGATGACGATGTGATCCGTGTTCGGCAGAAGCACTTGCATTTGAAGTCGTCGACCGAGAATTTTCAGCTGCAGCTTGGAGATGTTGATTTTGACTTGGAGGCATTGCTCCAATATACTCCAAAGCCAAACGCGAAGAATCGCTTTTAGCGACTCGGGACAACCCAGGATACGTTGAATTCGAAGAGGGAGCATTAGGGCTTAATGAAACCAAAGTGTTTGGGCGCATGTAACTGGACTGCTGAATTTGAGTCATAGCTGCATTATTCGGGAAATTAGGGGAGTACAGGCTACTGCTTTGTGATTGAGAATTGGATGCATCAGTATAATTGCTGGTAGAGGCAGAGCTTTGAAAATTCTGAAAATACGACTGATTCATCGAAATCTGAAGATTCAAAACAAGACCAAATGTTGCTCGTTTCAGAATAAAGTAGAACAACTAAAGGTTCAAGTAACATCAAATTTCAGATAAGGCATAGATGAAAAGAACAACTAGTTACAAACAGAATCGTGTAAAATAGGTTTTCGATTCTGTGAGGTGACGGCAAAGAAGTACGACTGCTAATGTCCAAATCTACAGATATTTGATAAAGTAAAACCTGAAAATAAAAAACTTTCAGCAAAATTATATTTTACGATATTTTTGGGCACTTACATACCAATTTCATTCACAAAATAAGGCAAAATATTTCTGCTTACGTGCCAGGTGAGACTTAGGCAGGATACACCAGTTGGAAATTCTGTTACGCCAAGCGCATCGAAGTAAAAGCGGGCATACGATAATTCAACTATATATGGCGCGATTTATAACACTGAAGGTCAGGTAAGCAAAAGACGGAGTTGATAAATTTAAATAGTCATCTAGAATACTCAATGTGATCATGAAACAAAACACCACTTGCTATTGTTTTGGCGTGCAAAACAAAGCTACACCGCGAATAGCCATGGAACGTATTGATTTTAGGAATTTGTAATCGCAGTATTTTTACAAACGTGTAATTATATTTCTCAACATATTGACATTTATGCGATATCAATTTGGTGGCGAGAGATAGAACTTACACAAAATTAAATGCGTTATGTGTTGCTTGTAAGTGTGCTTAATGTCAATAAATTTTCTGAAACATTAAATTCTTCCAACTCCAATTTTGTCGCTGTTTTTCGCCTCTGCCTCCGGTTTCTGATCCATGGATCAGGAAGATTGGCTAAAGATGGACATCCTAGGTATGGGTCATAATTTATTATGACTCTATGGGGCTATTGCTCGTCTCATCTCTGGAAACCAACGACGTTCCCCTAGCCGCGAAGTTTATGTAATCTGACGGTCTGTCACCTGAAAGGTACATTCAAATAGGTATGTATTGTATACTTGCTTGGACACTTAATTTCTCATGTACTATGATGTTGGTTGTTAATACACTGATTTTGCTTTTGACGAAGTCACCTTTTGGAGTCTCCTATAATTCGGGCGTCACTTTGGTGGCAGGGGTTCAACCATTTGGAGTCTATGATGGCGATTCACTAAACATTTCGTACGAATAGGGTTTTTCCCATGTTCACATGCTATTTAGCGCCTTCAGATGCAAATCAGAAGCTAAACATTCATTTAAAATAGTTTCATTAGCTTAGGAAATGTGCTGCCTATGCTTGAAATTTAGTGTGCAGCAATGCATCTATTTGGCGATTGTGTAATGCTTATATTGTTTCAGGGTACCCTTCATGGAGGAGGCAAGGTTACAATTCGAATCTGGTGAAAGAGTCGTCGTTTCCCAATTCATTCCCTCTAATAAATATGTCGAAGTTAAATCAACCAGGTTGTTCTAAGAGCGCTAGGAACAGGGAAGAGGAGACCTGCGAGTCTCGCCCTACAATTACTTCTAAGACATTGATTAAGTTAAGTTGAATGGCACTCGCAAGATGCTTTGAACAACTTACATGAAACGCCTGTATATTTTAACGATAAGGGTCCACTTGACCTTATGCACTTAGCTCATGGTTTTTGTATCGCATTCACTCATAATTTCCCTTTTATCTGAAGATTCCAGAATCCTTCGCACATTTATATACCCATTGATGCTGATAATAGCTGTGATTAACTCCAAACGACTTAGAGTCCCAATCATTTCTGACTAGGTGTGGAAGTAGGTACGGCATAAATGTGCACAAGGTCCGGTGATCCATTAGCAGAGGCGGTGTAAGTGAAACTTTATGCCACCAGTGTGGGGGTGAGGAAAACGCGGGTAAGAACATAAACCAGCTATTCTTCTATTGAAGTTGAATAAATGGCTGGAGAATTCATTGACAGCAATATCTATTTTCGCAAAAGGTTTATTCGGGCGTAGTATCCAATCCCAGCTTAAATGATCAAACGGCTAAAATGTTCGCATCAAATAAGTTCCAGTTATTAATAAGCAGGAGGTACTTCAATAAAATTTCTGCTAATAAAAGGATTTATGTATTTTACGGAAAGATAAGTCTTAATGCGAGTAGTCGGTCCAGAGAGGTGTTAGTAAATTCACCTAACACACAGATCTCACTTCCACAGGGATTTGTCATGCCATCCCAGAAAGGCGAGACAAAATCAGCTAAGGAGACGCATTTGTGCGATCTCGGGTCTGTAAACAATTTCTTTAAGTAAATTTTCCACAAAATGAGCGTTATAACTTCTGTTTTTTAAGGGCACAGATACAGAAGCTAAACAATGCAGAATCCCGGGAAACTGGAGCAAGTTAAGGATAAATAATGGTGAACATACAATAGTACGTATTAAACCAGAATCAAATACGAAAGCACAGAGGCTTCGCTAAAGGATGTAAAAAAAGGGACTGACTACCACTACTGAAAAAAAAATAAAGACTCCTGGAAAATACTGATTTAATCACTCACATCGGATTTATTTACGTAGGAATGAAAATAAAGAAACTATTTGATTCAATGGATAACACTATCAAGACATTCGGAATTCCACATCATTCAGTGAATACATGCTCTGTAAAAAAGAATGATCGGCTTTCAAATTCCTTAATGTAAAAGAATGGTTTTTCGAAAGTGATGCAAGTGTCCTAATAACTAATTCGGTTGAGCTGAAGCCTCCGCAACAGAAACTGTTATAAGACCTGTAGTATCCGGACCACAAGCACATTACTAAGAATTCTGTAGAAAGGTGCATGTTTTTTGCAATCAGGCAGTATTGTGCGAATGCTGGGACGACAATGTTACAAATTCATTCAAAATTGTCCTATTTGTTTTGCGGATACCTATTTAAATGATATTTTATCAAATGTGTTTTGCGTACTGTTATGACAATTGGTGAAGCACGCTCAATTTTTTGTCGCATCTTCTGATTACTAATGAAGGGCTTGGTTGAAGTCTTGGTAGGCCAAAGTAGGATGCATTAAAGTACACAACTAACGTAAGGAAGGGCTGGAAAGAAAATTGGCATAGTTTAAAGGCCATGCCACAGAGTGGGAGTACAACTTTGGGAGATTGAAGTGCTCGAATAGTAGGCATAGTATCAAGTCGCTACATCAGTTGATCTATGCAACCAGAGTGAATATAAATAAATGGGTGAGGTGCCGAACCGCACCTAAATGCCAGGTTATACGGTTTTTAGGCGCTAAATCAGAGTTCTACACAAAGAGGTTAAAGGCTTTAGCGAAGATTCGAGGCATTGGAAAGTACCATGACTTTAAGAGATAGGCGATTTCGCAAAATCAGTGTGATTTACTATGCTGCAATTATTTTGATGTACAGGAACAGAATTTGGGTTTCGAATCAAAAGTGCAATGGAAAGGCACAAAAAGTGAATTACTTGGTTTACAGATTCCCGTATCCTAGATCATAATGCCCGGATCCCCGGACAAATTAAAAGATTTTCAGCACCCAATTTTTTCCATGATTAGGGTTATGTTGAACTGATTAACCCCTAAACCCATTTCACTTGTTCTTGCCATTGTACCCGTGACGTAAGAGAATTAAACACACTGAGGATTTCGTATGCGTAGAGAAAATAATCATGCCAACAAATTGGCTTCATTAAAGGGAAAAGCTTGTATCAATGGCGTTAACGAAGGAAGTACAGAGAACAAATTAAAGAGAAGGAATTTTGGCATTGACCAAAACACTAAGGCAAGCGGGTTTTTACGGAAATGTTTAGGGCAACAAGAGCCTAAGCAAAAATAGCGTAAAAATTGACCTTTAGTATTTAACGTACCACTTGTTTCGCTCGGCTTCTGTTCGGAAACAATTATAATCCTTTCATCGGTAAATCAACAAACCCTGGCTTTCCGAGTTTTCGCACAATTAGTAATAAGGCACACCAACAGAGAGAAGTGGCTTGTTGTCAGTGTAGAAAAGGGATGGAGAGATCACAGACGTGAGAGCTTGATGTTTTCACACACGTTTAACTAGGCGAACTTTTCGGTCTCCCTGGTACTTACTTCCGATTAGCGGCATGGCTGTGCTTGCGGCTTCTCAACTCATCTGCACGACGATGCTAAGTCGTCTTCTACATCGCTAGAGACTGCGACGAATTCAGAGAAGACTCGAGTGGTTAAGTATAAAAACAAACATATTGTAGAGCCCAAGTCTTGCCTGTATTCGAAAGAATTTATGCTATTAGGACAATATGCTTCCAACGTACGGAAGGGCTGGGGGTCTACTGGCATGGCCAGGAGGTCCCACCACCCAGAGGAAATACGACGGCAGGGACCTAAGTACTGGTGTAACCCAAATTGTGAGTTAAACACTCATAGTACTTCATCATATTCCGTCACTACAACACAATTTCCTGACTTTCGATTGCAATTTTGAGACAAACCCCGAATACTCGTGGCAAAATTCGCACGACTTCCCCAAGATTTACCGAAATTTTGCTTCTCGCTCAATTAAACAAGCTAGTTTGCACTGACGCAATTGATACCTGAGATGACAAACGTGATCAAACAATCTAATTGCCAAAAGGCATTTGTGGTATTTAATGTCTTGCAATTCTATAGATCGTTTGAAGTACTGATCATCACCAGTAGGTTATGCGTTACGGAAGTTGTAATGGATTCGTTGTTTGTCCCCTCTACCTTCGGTTTCAGCGTCCTTTGATTGAGAAGGCTAACTAGAAGAAGACACCTTTCATCCGAGTAGCGTGGGGGTCCACAGATTATTAAAAGTGCATGGGAGAACGTCTCCTCCTTGGGAATTAACAACGCATGCTCAGCTGCAAAGTCGGTGTACCATGCTTGCATGTCACAGTAGTGGTTGACTCAAACAAATGTTAATGCGCTTGAATAGAGATTTTGTCGTACCATTTAAAAAGTATGTACATCGAGTAATCAGCAAATCAAAATTAATCAAAAAGGACCTCCTAAGCATAAATCATGTAATTAAATTCAATTTATTAATATAAATTCAATATGCAGCTTTTGATTGTCTGTTATAGTTTTGTAGGGTTGCACATTATTTTAATAAAGCGATTCTTTCTACACGTTCATTGTTATTTTGCGGGCGGTTTGGTTTCATGGGGAATTGTGGCACTTTTGCTGTGTAGAGGTTCTGCTCTGCCTGTATATTTGAACTTCTTATCGCAACATGGAGGGCAATAGTCTGTGTCTAGCGAATTCTTCGAAACGTAGAAAATTTTCATGGATCCAGCGTGTCCACTTCCTTCCTTCTGAGGAAATTATGTTATTGGATAAAACCGCTAACGGAGGCATCTGTCTTACCAGTTTCAGAATGATTTTGTACTGTCGACATCAAAGCAATGTAATCAGCATTCCTACCATGCTGATACGACTTTGTGAAACCTCATCTCTGTTTGACATGGAGGTCTCAACAAAAATCGGCACAACTTTTACGTAACGTGGTTTTATTAAAGCTTTATGTTGTAGGTGCCAGTTCAAAAGTGTGCATGCTTGCGAAGCCTGGATCAAGCAACTGAGTATTTTGTGCGGTTCTGTAAAGGAATTTTCGCATATGTTTGCGCGTCAATTCCGGGATGAGCTTAGAAAACGTGTTTCTAGTCACCCACTACTTTCGTCAGCGAAAGAAACCTTCGATCTTGGTGGTAAGCCAGTTAACTTTGTTTATCTGGAAGCAAACGACACTACTTTAGAAGCAGAAATGATTCTTCAAGAGTTTAATAGGCTTGAATTTGACAACAACTGGAAGATAACTGATGTAAACAGCGATTTTCAGTAGGGACGGGTTTGATTTCAACATACACTTTTTAGAATTTGTAAAAGCTACCCCAAGTATCACATATTGCCTCGGGATGTATCCGATCAAGATATACCCAATATAGCTACTTTCAGAAGCCATCATAGATTCCCTTCTGTTGTATGGCGATCGTGCAGGACCGGTGCTGTGCTCCTCCGATGTGCTCAGCCTCGTGTTGGGATTATGTATTCAAGGAGCGAATATGACGAGAGATTTGTTGCAGCAATTCTAGAAAACTGTAGGAAGGACCCATTGTCAAAGCAGAGCCACGGAGGTATGGTATAGTTGCTGGTCTTTGTTCGTCTTTTTATGCATTGGTATCTGAGCCTCTGTATGTTACTTCAGACTCTTGCAATCTCCTCATAATTGATGCGAGATATTACAGCTCTGCTCAATTCAATAGACTCCGTGGCGGTGGTTTCGAATATAAGGAGTACTATGACCAGTCACAGATACGTTTTGCAGATCTACCAAATCTTCACGCTGTTCGCATGAGTTTTGAGCGATTAATGCTTCTGTACAAAAAACCTGATTCAAGGCAAGATTTCTCTATTAATCTTGCATAGTAACCTATTACTCAAAGCATTAACTATGCCAGAATCGGCTACTAATGTGGTACGAGTATATGGTCAGTGGTTTAGGTTGATGCAGGTTTCCCCAACTTTTTACTTTCTCTGTTAACATTATACCTATTGGTGGCGTTCTTTCGTCTCCTTAGTTTAAAAAAGTGGAAGTAGGGAAGTACTTACGTGTTACATCCCAACTCATGTCCAGTTGGGTAATATACTTGTGGTCTGTGTCTATGTTTTAATGTTTTCATCTTGTTGGGAATCTAGTTGGTTGGCAACCCTGGAACGGTCTCTGTGGCTGAGTTACATCAGTCAGTTGTTGAAATCTGCCGTAGAAATTGCGGCTGCTCTCGACGTTAATGGCCGTCCCGTAATGGTTCATTGCACGGACGGTTGGGATAGAACACCTCAATTGACGTCACTCGCTGAATTGCTCCTTGATCCGTACTATCGGACGATACGGGTTGGCAAATACGTCTACATGATTAAACTTTTCAATGCCTTAACCCTTGTTTACATATATGCTTTATTTTGACTGCTATGCACACCGCTCTCATCCTTTATTTGCAAGCTTCGGGTGAACTCTACGTTGACTAGTCCTTTTTTTAAGTCTTGCACTATTTTCAGGAGGATACTAAGTCACCTTTTACCTAACGCTTCCATTTATGGTCTAGTCTTACCAAGTGCGTGTATATGATATAATATGATATGATATGGTCCCTCGATGCCAAACTCAATTGAAAATTGGAGGAATGTTTACTTCCATAAGACGTTGAAAGGCACTGCATTCCCACGAAACCGTGTTCTGTGTAAGAGGATATCAGAGAAAATAGTTCTTAATAAACGCTCTCTATCTGCATTGTTTCAATAAATGGCGTTCAGTAATGCTGAAATGTTAACATTGTCTACTTATTGTTTTTGATGAATCCAGGGGTTCCGTATCCTCATCGAGCGCGAATGGTTGCAATTTGGTCATAAATTTGGTGATCGTTGTGGACACAGTTTGAACTCGTGCAGTAGTGAAGAGCAGAGCCCTATTTTCCTCCAGTGGCTAGACTGCGTTCGCCAGATCCAGCGCCAGTTTCCTCACTGCTTCGAGTTCAATGAACTCTTCCTGGTGCGCCTCAGCATAACTTATACATGTGGTTTCGAACCTTTGCTTACTGATTCTGCCTTTTTTTCTACCAAGAGTAGGTCAAAATGCCATAGCTAATCGTTATTTGGATTGAAGTTGATGGACTTTCACCCTTAACTCTGATAAGTAAATCCGGCATTCAGCTGTATCTTGAGTTTTTACCAATTCCATATGCACTTTGAATGCGCTTATCCTACGTTTTATAAGGCTAAGTAATACTTTTATTTTCTCTCAGGTTAAAATAGCTATTCATACATATTCGGGACTTTTCGGGACGTTTCTATGCAACTCGGAGCTTGAACGCCAGGAGAATCGCTGTGCCTCACAAACTTGCTCAATTTGGGCATACTTAAATCCCACTTACAATTGGTCCATCATTAACTACCTTTACGAAGAAAAAAATGAGGTGCGATGATTTTTCCTTATTTTGTATCAGCATAATTTCATTAATCCACATGAGCGATTTGTTGCTCATAAGATTTATTTTGAGACGTGCAAATGAACAGCGGTGTTTACTATTTTTGGATTTGCACATGACTGGGGCAGTGAGTTTGAATCTCTGGGGTGCACTAATTCTGCTCATTAATGACTGTTTTAGGTGATAAACCCGGCTTGGCACGTAAGCAACTTGGAATTGTGGGATACCCTATATGTCAATGCACTGCTACCATCCAACGCATCTGGAGCTCTTAGTCAGCCTCCGGTTTTGGTCGCTCCTCTTCGGCGGGCCAGCGATACATCATCTCCCCTCCAGATTTCCACATCGAGTCCCGCCACAAATACTGACCTTTTAAGCTGCCGTCCCAGTGCCTCTATTGCTGTTCCCACACCCGCCACCCTCTCCGAAACTGCTGAAGTACATGGTTCTAGTGCTACTCTCGCCGATGTTCGGCAGCGCTCCCAATCACTCTCCGACGTTAACCATAAGCATGCGGATCTTCCGACAATCGCGCCCACGACATTTCAATCAGAGACCGCAGCAGCTTCTTTGTTTCGTCAATCTACATCTTTAGAGCGAGTGACCATGGTTCGGGTTGATGCTTCACCTTCAGTACCAGATTTTCTATCAATCGCTCCCCCTGACGTACCTCCAAACACAGATCCGAAATTGGTCGTAATTAATGATAAAGAAAACCTGAATGTGTCCCGTTCTGATCAGAATCTTGTCAGAAGCGTACCGAACAGGTCTCCGCACAGGCATATGCGAAGTGGCAGCGACCCACCTTTCAGCTCAGCTAACAGATTGAGGCTCTCGGTATGTCCATGAATGCTTAATCTTGTGATTGGAGATCATTTAATGTTACACATGTGTTGAACAGTTTATGAGCTAAAGCACTTCCCGCCGAATTTTAAATCCATAACATAAGGTCTGTTAATTTTGTCTATTAAACTATAGTTGTATCATTTTGTTAAGCTATGAATGCACATGCGACGGTTTATACAGTTTTTGCATGCATTTCTAGATAGCGGCAAATATATCTGTCTCCGGAGAGTGAAGTAAAGGAATCAAAAGCGCAATATACCTACGACTTTTGTACCTTTATACTTGATAGATCCGAATTCGTATGTCCTGAGAAATTCATCTCTTGGTACATTGCCTCGTTAAATTTTTTTCAACTTCTAGTTGGAGTGGTGTTCGAATGTTTTAAGTTGATAGAAAGCCTTTGCTTACGTATTCCCGGAAGCGCCACCTTGATAAAAGTAATCGCGAATCAATAAACTCAATAGTTTTAGTAGGGTATTTACAATGTTTGTTTTTAGATCCTAATCTAGTTGGGCTGATTTATTTAGAAGTATTATCCAGTAGCTGACTACAAATTTGCGTCCTGTTCATACGAGTTTGCTGCAAACATTGTTCCACTTCTCGATTTATGATCGAATTTGTTTTTTCCATTGGTTAGCAGCTGTTTTCCGCTTTTATCATCCAGAGGTGATCGGTGTATTACCGCGAAGCAATCCATTCACATTTGTAACTAAGGCATTACACTGATTGCTGAAATACTTTTTTTACAGAGTCTTGGAGATACTGACATACTTGTTGTGAACAAAGCTCCTCTCGATGATAGCCACGACGTTGAGGAAGCAGAAGGGAGTATGACAGCAGGCGACGAAGTCCTGGCTACTCTATCCGTCCCCTGTTCAGGGGACGGTGAAGATGTCGGGGGAGAAGGAATGACCCATGTCTTTATGGCCCAACACGCGTTTCCTTCAACATCTTCCTTTTCCCCAATGAGTCAGTCAACGATCTCGTTGTCAGGTGCGGCCTGCTATGGAATGGTAAGTACCTTCTGTTTTTAGTTGTTCGATTAAGCTATTAATTTCGGTCATTGTCACTTAACACCGTGGTAAACAGTTTTTATCGATTTTGGCGCAAATGCTGAATGCAGTCCATCAACTTCTGGAGATACCACTTTTAAACATCATTTAAAAGCGCCGTTTTTCTCCCATCAGTGGTGGTCATTTAATTAACTCCCTGATGAGAATACATTCGTATACATTATGGGAGCCTCAATAATGCCCCTAGATGCGTCCTTAAGAGCGGTCTCTTGTTCCGCCGTCTGCATAATCTATGTTAACTTGTCCAGAGAGCCTGGATCGATGGCTACTTTGGTCGCCCCGTGTTCAGCGCCCAATTTCGAATGCTGGCTGATGAGTCAGTATCCGCAGGTGCGAACGATGAATCCATTGGCTCGCAAATCAATTTACCCTCGGTCGATCAAACCAAGAGGGATATCATGGGAGAGGCGGACTCTGTTGATGATTGCAATCCTAACAGTCTCATTGGTAGTCGTACTCGATCCCATACAGAGGGTGAGTCTCACCAAAATCTCCGCACTAACAGTGAAGCTCTACCCGGAAGTCCAACCCTTTTGGCCTCAAGTGGTCCTGATCGAGTAAATCTGTCTAATGGCACTTCGTGGGATTTAGCAGCTTCTAAGGAGGTAAGCTCTCTACTTCTGCGCCCACTCGGGCCCCCTTTGAGATTGCCGATGTCCTGAGGTTAAACGAGGTTGTCTATTATATTGCCATTTAGCCTCCAGTTACACCCGAGCGCGGTTTCTCCGTTGATTGGGACGGCTTGCCTCTTCGGGTCGACCCTGTCACCTTAAAATTTCACGAGCGTCAAAGACAGGAGGATCATATACGCGCAGAGCACCAGAGCCACATTGATCGCCTCGAGGCCAATATTGCATGCCTCTTGCAAGAGGTGGCTCGTTTGCGCGCTCTAGTGGATGATAAAAGTAATGAAAGTAACTTACAAGGTATCTTCACCACCTCTGCTTCTTCCAGTGCTGAACTGTTTTCGTCACCGTTGATCTCTCCCGAGGTAACTGCGACTCAGCAGAACAGTCATGGTGATGGACAGGCGAATCCGCCGTCATCTATTGTTGAGGTTAGACATATGTCGTCTCTGCACTTATTGTTATTGTGTCTAATCCCTTTCGGGTTTGGGTGTTCACGCACTACACTTATCAGTTGCGCCTTTTTGAATGCGCATCTGAAATATTTGTGCTCAGTGTGTCTTGTATCAGTAAGGACGCTAGAAATATACGCGGTGCGAAGTCCGTCTCGAACAAAATCGAAACCAGTCGTCTGTTTGATGCAAACGGGTTCAAATCAGTGGTGGTGAAAGTAAATGTTAAGCGTAATTTGTAATTGCGATAATGTTTAAGTTGAACCAATCACTACGCTTTATTCTGTAAGCTTCTGGAACCTATTGGTAAAGTCTTGACGAAGAAAATTTTCAACCAAATATATATTTTAAAGTGACATTGGTTCTAATTGAATTGTACAGTGAGTTTGTGCTATTATTGTTTTGGCCTTTGGTTTGCTCAAAATGCGTTATTGCTGGACTGTTTTTGATGTTTTTAGCTATGTCAGTCTCTTGTTGGCAGACAAAGTGTCCTGACTATGTTCCTCTAGGCTCTCTCTGACGCAATCGGCAACCATCAGGGAGTCGACGACCATGCAGACTGTGGCGGCATCTACGTGAGGACCAACGGGACACCAGTTAAACCACATTCCCTGATGACCCAATCGGCAACCGATGACATACTGCTTAACTGGCCTGACGGGTTCGCTCCCCACAATGTCACTTCCTGCACTTTTAACCCTCCACCACTACGAAGGCGCTGCTGTCCCAGCCCCTCGTCAGACTACAGCTCCTTTGATGTTGTCGAAAGCTCTGCCCTGCTTGCTTACTCCGGCGTTCCTGGTGGACCTGCTTGTGGTGGATGTGATAGTCCTCTCGATGGCATTCTTTCTCCCCTTCCATGCGGGTTTGTTTTGGGTCCACCTTATTGATTCATTACCTGACTATTCACACTTCCAGCTTTTCGTTTTACAATCGACTATCAAGGTTCTCATAACCCAGTAGTTTTTTATTCATTTCAGAGACAATTTGTTTGCACCGCTAATCCAACTCATCAGTATATATCCTTGCACTTCATAGCCCAGCTCTCTAACGGCTCTTGTTGAAAAAAAGACTTATCTCTCGATGCTAACTTAGGCACTGGTATTGGGTACTCTAGTTATTGTCTTCGAAATTTCTGTGGCAACTGTTCCGAGACCCCGCGAGAGCTCAACAACTGCAAACCCATTTGCGGGGCATGCTATCGTGGATGCCCGTTCGAGTCGATTGAGGCACGTCAACTCCTCGCCGACTCCCAAACGGTGGAGGAGGGAGATGTGTACTGCCGGGGCTACGCTGCCCACCTGTCCTGCGCTCCTCTCCCCGGTAGCTGCACCAGCAGCACCACTGCCACCGCAATCTCGTGCTCGTCTGCCTGCGCCGATGGAGGTATCTGCCGACGCCTTGAGCGGCGGTTCCCCTCAGGCTCTCCCCTCACCTGCTCAAGCGCCCACAGCCAAAATGGAACTGCCAAAGCTTGAGCCACTTATCTGTGTATATCCCACATCTAATTCCCTCTTCCTCCCCCCTCCAGAGATGCCGCTTTTCTTTCCAATGGAAAGATACATTCACTTACATCCCTACTTGTATACACCAGTAACACCTCAGAATATTAAAGGAGAGCTCATACGCCTGCGTTTGTGCTGATTTCTCTGTAATCGCGAATAAGGCTTCCATACTCCCTATTTTCCTCTACTTTTCTCAAGTATTGAAATACCAGTGTTTAGTTCTGTTTTGCTGTTTCTTTCTTTCCCCTCGTCTTTAGTGTGCTACCTCTGGCGTCTTTATAGTTTACTAAGGATTGAATAAACCATCTTTTGCACTTAGACTGCTCTTGTGTTGATGGATTTTTCAGTTTCGCTGGTGTCGTTGGATGAGAATCACCTCGATTGTTTCGTAAATTTGTGGCATTTGCAAACGTCAAAGTATCTCTACTGTAGAAGCCGTAGGAGGTAAAACTTCCTCATATGAAAATGAAACTAATGTATGCTTATACAGGCCAAACACCCATGGAGGTACTAAGAGCTAGGTTACGTCATCGGATTCACCTTGAAGGGAATCACCTGAAGTTAAGTGTATAGGGGAGCTGTCACCTCTGTACAGATGAGGTCGATTATCGGGTGCGGTACTCCGCAATGAAAGCATGAGTAATTAAGTCGCAGCTTTGGGGAAGCTTGTGTGATGGGTGAGTTTGGTGGCGTTGCGGGGATGCCTTCGAGTCGTGCAAGCCAGCCCGTAGGTGGGAGCACTTGCTGAGTCCATTCCAGGCTTTCGGTTCCAATCTGAGATTGCGGCAAACAGTGCGCATGAGTATTAGCTTTCGTAGCGCATGAGCCCCTAGGGGCGCGCGATAGTAGAACGAGGCTCGCATTCACAGACGTGTAAAGGGAGCCAAGTCAAGTGGGCTACAGCTACTTAGGATGGTGTGAACATCTCAGGCCAAAGTCGACAGACATAACTGCCGGTTTGTTACCATGTTACAGTAAGGACGTAAGTTAAAGGCTAAATCAGGCATATACTTGGGACATGCCGCATTAGAAGGTGCAAGATTATCTGCCGGTTTTAATTGCTGCAAAATACAACTATGCCATCGCAATGGCATGGGAGGGAAAAACTTATGGGCCTAGGCTAATAGTTCAATAATTAGGGTAATTTTATTCTCATGTCATAAAGTGTGTTGTTATTTACTAAGAAAGTGGTTTAACCAGGCAATCCATGAAATAAATGAGTGGCTGAAGCCTTAGTGAAGAAACCCTAGTGTCACAGGTTCAAGGGGCCATTTATTTCTCAAACGAATATGGCAGTAAGCGATTGGGTAGGATTGGGTGGTATTTTGAAGGCGATGGTCACGCAAAGGGAGGATTGTTGGTCAAGGATGAGATTAGTAACTCTCGAAACTGAGACGCGATCAACTACCATCAGCAATTTTACGCCGTTCCGTTAGCGTAGAGCAGTGCTAATAGTTGATCGGTTCTCTTTCGCCTTTTTTGCATAGAAAGAAGAAAAATACTGGATCTCTGAACCAAAAGCGAAAAGGCGAAAACGGTTAAAGTGATAAACACCAACAGAAGGCTCTAGCGTCACTCGTAGCGTGGAAAGGCGATGGCGCAAGCTAGCCCAACATGTGAACAAACCCAAATCACATGATTTGGAAGCGTGTGCCCCACGAGTTTCTAGCACGTGCAGGCGGAGCGTGTGGCGAGGTTGCGCTGCGCCACGCGAGCGTCAGCATTCTGGCAGCCACGCCATAGCAGTCATTGAAGTGGTTAGGTTAGCTTTAGTAGGTTGCAATCATGCAGTCAATAACGGATTCGTGGCTTAGCTGAGAGTAAATTGTAGAATAAGCTAGTCCTTATAACAGCAATATTCACATTAACTTGATATACTGAGTGGCGTCAGATAGATCATGGTGCGCACGATGGAAATCGGGAATCATTTGAGTGTGAGTTTTTCGAACAAGTCTCTGTCTATACGGAGACGCATTTAAACCAGTCCCGAAGTCAAATGTAGATCGTGTCAAGGAAGCTTCCGGTGATCGATGAAGATTTTAAGCAAAAATCCCATGGACCATTTGGAGTAGGTAAGCCTGCAATATACCATTGATAATATGCATCATACTGGACTTAAAGCAACAAAGGTCAGGGAGCTGCATCAAGGGTTACTCGCAAGCGTCCCGTGACCTTTCCGTCCCCTTTTTCCTCCGCCCATAACACTTCAGTTAGAGTATGAGACGCTTCTGCTCTGGAAACTACGATGATGAAAGCGGTGCCGGTTAACAGAGCAAATACGAAACCAAGTACATTCTTTAATTCACTCTGTGGTCTCACACACCTACATAGACAAAATTTAGCCCAAGATCGAAGAATAAATTATGAAAAATTACGGATGTAGAAACCATCGACCACTAGCATTTCCGGCGGATTTGGAGAGTAGCGAATGATACGATTGTAGCAGTCAGCTAATTATATATGTATTTCAAAAATTGCTTGATTTGGATCAAAAACATTTAAAACAAAAGCCGGAATTGCTATAGAGATTGGAATAATTGGAAGAAGATTTAGCGTTTCCCTGATTATTTCGTTTTATTTTACCATGAGTTGAAGAAAGATCAATCACTCTACTCGGGTAGGAATTGTGCTTATAATGCTGAACCCGGCTCCAAAATTCACGGGTGGTATTTAGTTGACGGAAATGTGCGAATTGGACAAAGCAATATTGGGTGTGAGAAGCAGATACGAAGGACGGCACTTCTCACTCCAATCCAAAGATGTTAGTGCCTACCAGCATCAAGGATGACTTGTAATCTTCCACAGAGACCTATGTAGAGGCTTTTAAAAGAGTAAGCACAAACGAATAATTTGTCATATGGTTTCTATTTAAGTCACTATGTGAAAAATGAATGGCGAATAAAAGCGGATTTTTGGAATTTTTTGCTTCAAAAACGTTGAATTTTTGGCAAACGATAATTTCACGAGAAAAAAACACCAAGACTTGATCTTAAGCATGGTTTGTCCTCTGCATCAAATAAAGTCCAGACCAAAAGAAAATTTCTGCTTTGTATTTAAAGCGCCTGGGCTCCGGTGCTTCCCAAAGGGGTCTGACAATAAATTAGTGCAAAATAGCAGGGTTACAAACTACTGTAGTACATGCTTGGTTAAGTGTACCTCTTAGGCGAAAAGCAGAGTGAATACGAATTTGGTAACGGAAAAGTCATCTGAAATCCCCGAGGGAGAAGAGTGTTCCTAACTTGTTTACCTTTGGTCTTTGTCCCCTACTCTAATATTACCAATAAAAATGCTCTTACCTAGTCAGCTCACATGTTCCAAGAGAACGAAGGCCGAAGGGGTAGAGATAAGTGCTATATCTTTTACACTGGTGGCTTAAACCTTTACATTTATTCTCTGGCTCTACCCTTGACACCAGAGGACACCTTAGATCCTTCATGCTCTCCCAAAGCTCTCTTCTCGGCTTCCATAGGCGCAGGTGTCACCCCTGACACAAAGTTAGACCACTGCTGCTCTACCTTACCCCAACCCGTCATCAATCAGGAGGAACAGACACTAGCCAAAGAGTTCTTTTATCCTTACTAAAAAGTGGGTCATGATTAAAAGTGCGTGAAGAGTCTCCAACTTCTAGCAGAATGAGTCTTCCCTGGCTGCCCCTCGAACGGGTTTGCTGGATAGATAACTGTCCAGTTTAGACATTAAGTTCGAACACTGATCATGGCCGAGAAGCTTAGTGGTATAAATAACAAATTTTCCAGCCAGCTGGTGGTATTCGCAACCAGGAAGCATCAGAACCTGCTTACGGTCATGCGCTACAAAAACCCGAACAGGCGACCAAACCCAACACCTTCATATTGAGGCCCCCAAAATACATTGCATAGTTGGACAAACCCTTCTTCCCTCACCATGTTTGCTCTCAAACTGCTCCCATTCATTCTTGCAAGCCCCAAGCACACTAGAAGGATGTTTATGTAGATTTCTTTTTGACTCTGACGCGACTAGATCAATTATAAATCTTCCAGCTTTCCCCACTCTTTGTCGCAAGAATTTGACAGCTGCATCATCTACAAGATTACGTTCAGCAGAATGAAAGGAGATGGCAAGAGAAGGTAGAGACGCCGTTAAATGTCAGCGTAGGCTAACATTCCTAAAAGGTGAAATTTATTTTATGTTTAGAACTGGCTTAGGACGTGTTTCTAACCTCTGAGTTTTATGAAACACCAATGCCGTACTAAATTTTGCTGAAGGTACCTTCTCTACCCGCCAAGAAACTTAAGTTAGTGCAGCTCTTTCGATACCAAAGGAAGTCATCGATGACATTTACAACGCTCTCTTCTATTTCGCAGCTATACCCATGGACAGCCGGATTAACCTTTGCACGCAGCTTACTCGTCATCGACCACGAAGGAAAAGAACTCTATGAGTTGCTGATTAAGTACACAAATACTTTCCCATCCAAGGCGTTAAGCTAGGACAAAAAAGTATCGTGAAGCAGACGGTAGATAATAGCGAACTTGGCCCCATCCGACAGCCACCCAGACGCATACCACCCCTAGTAAAGAAGGGATACGGAAGTCTACGTCTGTGCGTCGACTACAGGAAGTTGAACGCAGTAAAGAAGGAGGACATTTTTCCTTTACTCCACATGAGCGACTAACTGGACTCCCCACAGGGGTCATACTGGTTCTCCACACTAGATTTAGAATCATGATATTAGCAATTGGAGGTGGCAGAAGCGGGCAGAGAGAAGATAGCTTTCATATCGCCAAACGGTGGTTAATGAATTCCAGACAATGCCCTTTGGACTCCGTTACGCAGTGGTCACCTTCTAACGCCTGATGCAAGTGGTACGAATTGGCTTATTTCCCAAACATTGTAAAATCTGTCCAGATGGTACCCGAGAGCGTAACACCAACCTGAGACTAGTGTTAAACCGTCTCCGAGACGTAGGGTTAAGCCAAGGATATGCCGATTTATGTACCTCTCGGTCAACTTCCTGGGACATACAGTCTTGTCAGACGGGATGACAGTCATCGAAGACCGTGCGAAATAAGTGAGAACCTAACCAACATAACCAGTGAGACGGAATTCCGTAGTTTCCTAGGTTAGGCAGATTAGAACAGACGCTTTGTTAGTTTTGCTAATATCGCAGGCCCACTATATAAATTGGCGGAAAGGCAGGTTAAAAATCATTTTAAATGGCAAAACAAGCATGATGAAGTGCTTAAAGAATTGAAGCGAATGCTCCGATCCATATTGATTTTAACATTGCACAACTTCGAATCAAGCGTACTGCCATTTGTACTGGAAGCTGACACGAGCGATGCAGCAGCGGGCGGTGTACTCTTACAATGGGGCACTAAAGAAAGAGAACATGCCATTACTTACACAATTATCCGACTTAGTAAAAAATTGAGAAAGAAAAGTGCAGCACAATGTGACTTTTTCGCTATCTACACAATGGTTGGACGTTCCAGAATATCTGAAAGCGGAGAAGTTCATAATGAGATCCATTCATCAGTCGCTTACGTGGTAGAAAACAATGAAGGAGATAGATCGTTCGGTTACACGCTTCCACAAGGAACTGCGAAAGTGCGATTTCACAGTATAGTACAGGAAAGGAAAATACGCATAGTAATGTAGCAGAAACAGGTGCCCTCGTAGGTGCCATATTTTTGAGCGAGCCTGATGACCACGGCTCTGGTATGCGAGGAGTCCGTACATCCTCCTATAAACCCACAGCGGAAGAGATAACTTTATCGAGCAAGACTACCAGACGGATATGGAAGGGACAGTCGAAACTCTCTCTAAAGGATGAGGTTTTATGGTACCAAGAAGGTATCGGCTCTCCTAAGCGCCTTGTGATCTCAGGATTATTGGCACAAAACAATTCTCCGAAAATTACACGATCAACTGGGCCACGTGGGCGAAGAGAAGATGCTAGATGTCTCGATCAAATGATACTGGTAGCGTTCGCTCACTTTAGGCGTACTGGATTTCTGCCACATCTGCATCCCTTGCAGAGAGCTTCAAAGGGCTTCATCTCACAGCGATCGTATCGCTCCAATCCATGCTCACAGGGATAGTAGGGAAAGGCTAATTTTGACATCGTAGGCCCTCTACCACTCACCAAGAGAGAAAATAGATATATTCTGGTTATGGCAGACTACTTCATAAAAGTAGCTGAGGCGGAACCCATTAAGATACAGGACATTGAAAAGATCTCCTCATTTTTTTTCGATCAGTGGATTTTTCAGCATGGAGTGCCGGAATTGAACCACAGCAAACAACGTCCTAATTTCAAAAGCCGACTTAACTGAACTACGCAAGACCTTCCGGAACTCCGAGACACACACGACACCTGAACATCCGCAAGGCAATAAACGGGTTGAAAGGACGCATCGCACTATGATTGGACTACCAAAGGCTTTCACTAAGGATGCACAACCAAAGGGTCTTTAAGCCTAGGACGCGTCCTCCTCGTGTACAGGACTACAGTACATGTATCCACCGGCGTTTCATCGTTCAAGATGCTAAAAGGTCGTGCGATGCGAGTACCTTAAGATGTTTTCTTACTAAACACAGAAGTAGCAACCAACAATGTCCTGGAGTATGTGCTGCGACTGAAAGAAGGCATAAAACAAATTTCAAACATTGCACGAAAATACGATTGTCATATATCAGGCAGAAGAAGTATTGTGACAAACATGGACAGACTAACGTCTACCGACAGGGAAACTTAGTACAACTATACAAGCCGATTACTCCTCCCCCCCCCCCCCCCCACTTTCCTAAAATACACTGCAAAAAGACAAACTGGAAGAGGAATGAGGGGACAATCATCATTGGATATTTTGCAAAAGGACAATGCTAGCAACATGCGTGCATAACGTGTAACGCTCGTGACAGTGGTGACAAAACACGCTCACGTGATTTACTGTTTCACCTGCTGATTGTAAGGCCTTCGCGAAGATCCAAACTCAATCAGGTCACTACGTACAGTACACATGAATAAACTATCCTTAGCAAAAACCGGTAAGCGGCCGTATAATTTCAATGGTTACGAATTTCTTACAAAACCAAGCGGTAAGTAGACGAGCATCAGCAATAAGTGTCCCACTAACTTTTCTTAATGGCGAAACAGCATACGTATAAAAAGCTCTCTTAATTCCGGGAAATGTTAAATATTAACCTTCGCGTTTACTCTGTGCAGTCGAGCGAATTCTGGGGAAACTGCCTTCCAAAAACGCGTATAGTGCGACGAGTTGGCGAGCGACACAAATACTAGTTCTCCGTAATGACGTGGGAAAGGTTCTGGCCTCCTACACAGTCCCAGAAACTCGTCAACAATACCATTAAATCTTGCGTTTTTATGGCACATAAAGTATACAGCATAGGAGAACTCAATCATATCGTGAAGATTTCGGTGAGCGAGAGGATTTTATTTCAGTTCCTACTCAATATGAATGACGGTGATTATGCATTTGGTTTCAAGGTATTACTTATGAGGGAAAAGCATATAAAATCCAAGTATTTTTTGCCGCATTTACCGAAAATGTAACAGTTCCAGCTATAAGATCTGTAGATAGTTTTGTGTAGCAAATCTGATGCCTGCGACCAAATAAAAGAATGTTTTGGCGACATTGAATTGATCACAGTTGCACGACTAGTAGACACACTCACATGAATGGAGTCGGCGTCGATAAAAGTGGATTGCAGAAATTCTTTTGTTGGGGTCAGTAGAACTCCAAATACCTCAGAGATAAGCCACTCTTTATTCCACTCTATAGCCACGGATTCGACTGCGTGAAATGAATGCAAAGCAGAGCTGGAACTCATAACTTCTTGAGGATCTTACCACAATCTTAAATGCTCTTGGTACGCCTTAACTCAAATAGTTGTGCAACAATTTGCAAATTTTCTGGTACCAAATCACCAAAGTAACATGCCACGAATGCGAGTGGGAACCACGACCACATTACACTTTCTATTGTTACGAACACTTTACCTAAGTCCATTGGGTTGAAGCTGGCCGCATACATGTCTGCTGGGGACAGAAGGGAAAAGAATGCAGAGATACGAGAGTAATCCACTTACTTGTATAAAAATAGCTTTCAGAATGTGAAACGGATACGTCAGCAATGGTGGAAGGTAGGTGAACTAAGTTAATTGAGATAAGTCTTTTAGGAATGGCATACTAAGCTCTAAGCGTAAAGAGAGCAGAAATGTTAAGTGATTTACAGCAGTAGGAAATATTAATCCTCTAAATAACAATGACTTGACAGTGTGATGGTTTGTGCTTACTTGAAATCAGAAAACAAGGTCAATGAAAATAACCACCGAACATATTAATCGCCAAGCCGAATATGTAGTCCATGTATTCAAGAAAAGCGCTACATAATTTACCGTACCAAGCACTTATAACCAATCTGAGAGGGCAGAAGTAGTGTGCTCGCTACATAGGTGAAGCAAAATTAGGCGGTAGGTGAAATGTTACCGAGCGTCCGGTAACACTGCCTACAAATAGAGTCTACTAGTAAAAAGTAAGTGAAATGCAAGTGAAGAGTGCAATTAGGTGGTGGTTTTTGAGAACGAACTACTCTTTTTTGAAAAACAAGCCATAAAAAACTGAAAACAACGCAAACAGGATGAATGACAAAGGAAATTGGCAAGGCGGTAGAAAAATGAAGGTCAAATTAAAATTTGGGAGGCGAGTTAATCGGCCAAAAGGCCAAAATCCTGAGGTATGAGAAAATGCGCTGCGAACAATGCAGGGTTGCTAGCCGTAAGAATGCATCGAAGGGTGAGAAATAAGAGGTCACCTTTCAGTGCTGCTACATTAAGGCAGTTTAAAAATTGCGGATATCGGTGGGAGTAGGCAAATTACAAAGAGAGGACGTCAAATAAATAATAAGGTATAGATTACTCCACAATATTCGCGAAATTGGCAGTTTTGCTTGCTTAGTGTATTGCGTACTTGTTTATTCACTTAGATCAAATTCAATTTAGCTTCATAGCGTTATTAACGTCCGCGTAACCGAATTTCAACATAAAGAAAAGCCTTCAAATGTGGCTTGACCTTAGAATGACCTGGATCAAGTGACCCCATCCGCAAAATTACCCAGAAACATGGTGAATTGATAGATCAGAGCCATACAGTGGGATATATAATAAAGCTCAAAATAGCTTTGGAGAATTTTCAAATCATGAATTTGGTTCTGCGCGTTTTTGTTGGACAAACAGAGCAGTTCTGATTTACGGAACAACTTTAAAATGTTAGAGGAAGATCCCAAGTGGGACTGCAAAATAACAAGAGGCAGTAGGAATTAAACGAGTAGATGTTTAGCCAATCTATTTTTAGAGTGAAAAATGTTTCAAATGCTTCGGGGCTATAAAAGCCACCGGCAGACACACATTTACGCACACACACTAGAATGAAAAAATTGTCGCGTGTTTAGAATAGCTGGAAGCAGGATGAATTTTTCCGACCTACAATGCGAAACAAACTACTAACTTTATGAAAATCGCGTACTTATCCAGCAACGTGGGTGGATTGCGAACAACACGCATACTTCCGGACTTGCCATATTCGCTGTGTAATCGAGTGAGATCACGTCAGAGTTGGCGCATGAACTATCTTAGAAATTTTCCCAAAAGGGTTCTTAGCATGAAAAACAACGTCCTTAGTTAAATATTAACAGTTTTTATCTTTTAGACAGCAGACAGTTGCGCATCCAGGAACCAACGATTTACTAATAACTCATTTAGTGTAGAGACAATAAAGCTCAAACATTTGCGCGGAAAATCATTCGAACTGCTTTTCATTAATCAACTTCCTTCTGTAAGCTGCATATTGAATAGCAAATCAAATAACTGCAATTTTTTGAAGTTACAGAAATTGCAAATGTGAATTTAAGTAAGGTTATCCCCAATATGAAAATCATGACTAATCAAGGCTTCAAAAGTCGTACGAGAAAATATGCCGCTAATGTTATTTATACATAGGCAGAAAAAATGGAATGAACGAGACGCGCTATCACCATCCGCATGATTTGAAAGTTCACGCTTCGCTTGAACGACCTGCCCTGGAAAAAAATGGCAGCGGTGAAAGTGCCATCAGGCAAACGTGGCGTCTGAACTCATCGACACAGCAAATAATAAGGTGTAGGTGTTTACAACGTTTGTACAAGGAATATGCCGGCGTTCTTATTGGATAACCAACAAGCTCCATACAGTCTCCGGTCTAGGTCGCTGCAACAACTTGTAAGGTCTGCCCATTTGAATGCACTATGGAACATACGCATTCATCAGTCCATCGCACTGTGCTATTTGCCTCATTTTATACCCTACCGGCTGAATCTGTTGTGTATCAGGTTTGTCTGCATTTTAAACCAAGTTTGGCTCGGTTTTATAGCACCAAAAATTCTCGCTTAATTTGTAGAGAAATTGGAGCACATGAAGTGGCAAAATCTACTGTCCAGAAGCGGTTTCGACAATTCGATTTCCATGCAGATGCAGATGACTAAGATAAAACAAGTTTAGTGTCAAGATCTTTGCTGAAAGTTGTATTTACTGTGAGTGATAATGCTACAACTCGTCAACAAGGAAGGGAAAGTCCTGTGGACGACCAAGCGAATGGATCTTATCCACACGCACTTACAGCCGCCAGCAGGCTTCAAGGGCTGTCAATGTACTGTTCTCTACTTCCCTCGTCGTAGAGGGATGCCCTTTTGGATTGTTTGTTGGCTCATCTACAATGCAAGGTGACCTTTGTATGGAAGTTTTCACTGAGCGAAGCAACACATCACTGCCTATCTCCAAACGACGCACTCGCCAGGCCGCACTTGTGGCACTGAAGCACTTTGTTCCAGAAGACTATGCTTGCTTTGTGTGTGGCCAACTGTAGATGGAATTGCTCACTCTGACTTCCCTGCTGGAGACCGAGCGGTTTATTATTGGGATTCATCTGCTCGGTACAATGTGTGTAAGAAAAGTTTTTTGGAAACGGCTATGAGTAGTGAATCAATGGGCAGGGCAACGCAAGGCCTCATGCTGCAAAAGTTTGCCTGTTATTTTATCCTGGTGATCGAGGCGGAAGGGGCTTGGTTGTTTGCCTCAGGAGGCAAAGTATCTTGAAAAAGTGTGACTTAAGGCCTTGTGTCTCACTGGTATGGAATTATAGATGGCAATCTCTTCATCAAAGACAATTAAACAACTGTAGAAAGCTACGCTCCTAGATGGCTTTCTGCAATTATTTAGTTTCTATCCTAAGAGAAGGAACTAGGCTGTCTCAATTGCCATCCCTGCTGCCGCAATCAATCAAAATGACACCAAGATTGACAGCTTTACTCCTGCTGTAAAGTACAAAATATAATCAGCACAAATTTATGCAACAATAACAGCCCAGCCGGAGATGAAGGAAAAAAGGCGGACCACAAGACGTTTTGGCAATTACAACTTCGAAAATACGACACAGAACGGTCACCCCCAGCCCCTTGAATTAGCAAAAGCCCTGAAAATACTCATTCACGTTTAGAGCATTCAGCCTCGCATTGGCTGATCAAGCCGAATCAGCAGTAGACAAGAACATTCATGTGACCCATTTAAGTTTTACAGAATTATGAAATGAAAATCACGCTATTCGCATTTTTACGTCACACATCGTTACATCTTCATTTCAACAACCAGTATCGACCGTACAGTTGATAATTGCTCCTTTTTGCTCTAATACAAAACCTGCAAGTACTTTACAGTTGCATGCTATATTCCGGGCGAATCCATATGGACAATAAACACAAAGTGCCAAGGATGGGGAGTTTTGTACAGATCAGAGGCAGTTACGCTTGATTGAGGCGTTCCTTCTCCTCAATTTGACGGTAGCGCTCGCGTGTGACCGAGAGGGTTCGAGCATGTCGCAGTTCCGAGGGGGTTGAGTCAATCGAAATCGAGTTCGTGCCAAGGCCAGTGTTGCCAAAGCCAAGGCCTGCGCGATGATCCAGGCGCATACTTGCTGATATCTGATGGAAATAATGAATAACAAGAGCATGATATTCATTGATATCGGAGAATCATAAGTAGTATCTGGATTTACTACACAGACGCATGCGCATTCAGGCTGAGGTCCGAGAAGGCACAGACCAGAATAGTCAAAATGGCGTACGCGAGAATCGAGTTCAAAGCAGTAAATTCAAATCTAGACCTTTTCAGTCATCCACATTTGTACGCGGGTTTATTTTGCAACTGCTTTTCACCCAAACCTGCTTTTGAAAACCTCAAGTATTGAAGGCCAATCGAGTAAAATGGGCGCAAAACGATAGGAAAGCTAGGATTTCCTTGTATGCACAAACTAAATATAGTACACGTTTCCATAAAAGTAGTTCGATGAGGTTAAAATAACTGAGAGAGCTGAGGTTATAACTCATGATGGTACTCTCCCGTTCATTTAAGCAATTAAGACGCTACTGCATAATTAAAAATAACTTAAAACGCACCGGTCTTGGCACGGGTAGCATCTGTCAAATAATAAACACGAATAAGGAAAAGAAGAAACGTACGGGTTCGGCGATACCACCTTTCTCCCGGCCCAAACCCTCGCCCTTGCTCCAGCCCATCTTAGCGAGCAGACGAGCTCCCACGTTGGTCTCGTCTATGGGTGTGAGGACACTGGCGGGTGTGGTAACGACGGGGATGGAGGGACCGACCTGTCCACCTGCAGCCATAGCCTTCTCCAGAGCCCGCCGCTTCGCCGCCCGGTCCTCGTAGTGCGGCTGCTCGCTGGTCACCGCCGCCCTCTGATTCTGGCCTGACTTTCGGCCTTTCTGCAGACCCATATGAAAATAAGCTTTCAGCTGCTACTACTACTACCATAAATAACTCGAAGTTCGTATGAAAAATCATCATGTAATGTTGTGCTGTCCAGGTCAACCAGCACATCTACTGAGATAACATGGTGATAAAAAACAAGATTTATGATTACTACCTTTGTAAATATTTCGCATCAAGACCGAAGCAAATTCACCCAATGTGTCAAAAATCGGACACTGTTAAGCAGTGGACATTGATCCGAAAAACAGATCTTAAGGGTATTTGCGAAGACGAGAGTAATTGCGGTGCTAACGTACTACACTATACGAAACCATGGAAAAGTATGATGAATGGAAATCAAAGGATAAGCTGAGGCCCTCAAAAGTGCTCGGAATATCAACTGTGGGGTAATAAAATACAATTGGAGGCCAGAATGAACGGAAAAGGATACCCACGAATAGGCAGAAATCTCAACGCAAATGCCAGTTCACCAACCTATTACACTAAACAACGATGAATAATCTTTGTAGACCTTTCAAGGAATTTGCGACAAACATGTAAGAAGGCCAAATTTCCGATAAATATGTAAGACAACTTTAAAAGAGACTGTTGGTAAAAACGTGATTAGTTACGTGGCTATGTCGAAAGAATTTATCTAGTGTAAATCAACTTACATAAATGAATTCCAAAAAAATGAAAAATTAGAATTAAAACTCGCGACTATACACGAAGTTGTTTTCAAATAGCTGAGTAAATTAATGCGCATCAAATCTTTATGCGTACGAGAACTTGATTGATGGGGTGTCAAATTACACGAATTTTTATGTAGTATATGCAAATTTGAGTAAAATACATACAACGAATAGCTACCACTCACAAGACAATACGAGAGGTGAGTAGAAGTAGATGCTGAGGCAGAGATAAGCGAATAAATTTTTTCTAAAACCTAGTTTTACCTGCAAACATGCAATAAAGATAGATTGGATAGGAAGATAGCTAGCAGTCTACCACTACATGCCCTAGCATAAGGTTGAGTAGGGTAATATTCACACCACTGTGGTGGTGTGAATCACCTAATAATAAAGTGCTTTCAATAGGCCTATGCCTAGGTACCGTAGAAGACTGAAGCGAACCTGAGCATTAAGCGAATTCCATCCTGAGAAGAAGTACAGTTAATCCAACAATTACATCTTAACAAATAAGCACACCCAGTCGTAGTAGCCTAGAGAGGCCATTGTAGCACCACGATGCATAGATCAAAAAGTTCTAAATAATCTATTTCCCTCCTGCGTTGGACGCTCACAATATGCGGCGCCAAGGTGCCATACTGAAGTATCTAGTTTAACGAAATTTGATTACATTTTTCAGTGTCGAAATTTGTTAGGTCAATCTGTGAGGTCTTAAATGCGCATAACTTGCTTTCAACATTCAGCTTCCTTTTAGTTACCAGACTCCTTCAAACGAAGAAATAAAGACACCCTACTGAATACATGGTTAAGAGAAACCAACTGCAGTTTCTTACAATCAGACAGTTAGTAAACTTAATAAATAAGCGGGAACTTACGACAAAAATATAAGAGATTTCAAGATGCAGTGAATGAATACAACAGACACAGAACTGGATTTCAAACGACGAAATATTTCAAAATGGCTCGTGAATACATATCAATTAAAGAATTCCGATTTGCATGAAACCAACGGAAGTGACGGTTGTCATAGGTAACCATTTAATATTTCAAACTGTTGCAGAAATACAAAGGCAACACAAGACTTCTCGTTCAAAGCGCACGACTTTTAGCCAAAAACAGATTTAGGAATTACGGCACACCGTTCTGATGATTGAAGGATAGGTGTTAAAAAGTAGAATATATGAATTATACTATGTGGTAGAGCCCTAACTGCTTTTTGGATTTCTAAATCGCCCCACAAAAAACCAATCATGCAACGAAAAGCGGCAAAAATAGAGCCAGTAGCAGTCCCATGAACTGCCATGTTCTGCGGAGGGCTGAGGGATTGAATAAAAGCTACAAATATGGCGAAACACAACACCTTCGGGGAGATGGGATGTAAGAGCAGTTTAATAAATACATTTGACAAGTCAAGAGAAATAGATGAATTCAACAGAATTGAATCGACTACAAGCGTGTGCACAAAATGCAATTATTTTCCCCAACAAACAGATAAATGACATTTGGACATGATATAATTGAAGTCGAAAGACGGTTGAATAGGCTTGTGCATTTATAGTACAAGTGATTAGTCACAATCCAAGTAAAACCTTGCACAAATTTAGCAATGTTAAAGTAAATGAATAACTGTTACACAGATACGAAAATAAAGCGTAGTTTATGAAGTGTTCCTAGAATAAAATCATAAGCTAACTTAAACAGTGCAAGTGTTATAAGTTAGGAATGTATGGGTATACTTTTCAAACCAGACACTTGAGTTGCTTTATGCTGGAGCGTTAACGTATCTAACTGCAATGGGAAAAAGTGCATTTGAGCCCAAAAACCGAAAAATAAATAAGGATAAGATGAAAACGCAATTTGACTCATTACTAACTGGAAGTTAGCAGCGACTAAGTGACAAACAGAATAGGATTTTGTGCTACAAATTAGACAACATTGATTGGCGGTCCAGACATTTTAAAACACGAAGACAATTCAAACATCATGAAGTAGATCGGTCATACGTCCAGCGACCATGGCCTCGAATTTAGTGAAAATAGAATAATTAAATCAACGACCTAAAGCTAGTATTCTTTGTGAACCTCAACAAAAAAGCGGAATGAAAATTTGTAGAACTCACGCTGCCACCATAAATGAAAGGCACAAGAAAAGGCAATTGTCGGGCAGTCAGTTCACAGCCTTCCTTTCACGACAGAAGGGTATAATACTATCGACCAAAAGTACGGAAAAGGTGTCGAATACAGGAAGAATACAGTCAGTCCCTGTGTTTTCCGTTTTTGTGTCGGTCTAAGTCCATGCATTACTTCCCAGGCCTGCGTAAGGATGAAACAACCTCACCTTTTTGAGTCCATACTTGATTTTTACTGCGTCAGCGTTGGTTCGTCGAACAGTCTCCTTTGGCATTGGGGTGCCCACCGATGATTGTTCGTTATTGTTTTGGGCATCAGATGAAGCCGCGGCGTTCGCAACCGACTCGATGGCTGCTTTAATCTCTACAGCTTCACACTGACCACAGGTCTCGCGACCTGGGTGAATGTGAACCAGAAACCGATTGCCGCCTATGCGCAAAACGTCCCCGTGATTAAGTTGCTTCTTTTCATTCTGTAACACATACAAATTTTACTTACTATTTATAAGTAGCTAAAGCGTGCCCAACAAGCAAATAAGATGTACCTTTTCCAACTTAGATCCGTTGACATAGGTGCCGTTGGACGTTTTTCTGTCTCGCACAGAGTAGCTTTCGTCAGATTTATTAAATGTGATTTCACAGTGAATCTCGTCGAGGTCGGTGTCTTGTGTGAGATCGAAGACAGGACAGTAGTGCCAGTTGCGGCCCAGACAACCCCAACCAGAAGAGGCCTCCTTGGAGGTGATGACGCCGACAGAGCCCACGGCGAGACCAATGGCGTTGGAGGCGAGGACCATCAGACGCACCGAGGGCGGATACACCACAGGCGTCGCAGCTATACATGCTGGATTCGACTTCTCACCTGCAGTATCTGCTTAAAAAGGGCACAGCGATAAAACAAACCAAGCCATTGAATTATTATGTACTTGCTTGGAAAGTGGAGAAAAAATGTCGAGAATGAATCCAGATATTAGACGTACTTATGCGCGTACTTTAAAAAATTGACGGAGGGCCAAAGTTAAGAGAATTCACGTAAGCCTGAATATCCAAAAGTAGGGTTTAATTCCGCGCAGTTGCTACAACACCCATTTAGCTTCGAGGCTACCTTTATCCGAATCATCTTTTGCAAACTCTTGGAACCAGTGACATGAATCTCTATGCATTTTTTTATTAAGGCCAATCAAAGTACGAGGTACATTTGCCGTTTCCAGTACCTACCTGCTTTTTTAATGTACTATTAACGTAAACTTGTTCATGATGCCAGAGCATGGTTTAACAATGAATAAATATACCCATGATCTACAGGCTTTGAAAGTTCTTTGTAAAAATATGTTAGGGCAAATCCCTTCATCCAAAACCAAATAACAGCAAAGGCCATCTAAAGCGCACGGTCATTTGCTTACCCTTGTCTTTCCGACTACTGCGGCGACGTGAGGAGCGTCGACCAGCAGAGGACGAACTATTGTAGTCCCTGCTTCTTCTACGTGATCGGTGAGATGATGAGAATGACGAGGCACTCCTGGAGTAGGAGGAAGAGGAGGACTGGCGACGGTGCCTTCGTCGGCGACCGGAACGCCTACTGCGCCGGCGACCGTTTCGACGACGCCGGTCTGTTGACACAGAGGAAGAAGAAGAATATCGACGCCGCCGGTCCCTATATTTGTCATCCGACTTCTTAGATGGTCCGGGGAACTATGCGTAGAAGAGAAAACATTTAATGCGTGAGGTTTTTCTGGAAGGGTGATGGAGATTCGCGCCCTGATCAACTGTCATCACCTTCGAGATCTGAAAAAATTACGCATGAATGATAAATGGGTATCACACAGAGAGCATGAACCATTTAAATAGATTTGATAAAAACAAACCTCTGACTGGTCTCTAGTTCTGTCTAAAAGGGCCTTGAATTTGCCACTCAATTCAGTGGAAACACGGGAGTGGTAAGAGTATTCTTGAGTTTCGTTGTCATAACTGTAATAAATCCCACTTTTTGGCTCGAAAAAGAGCTGATTATCCTGTAATTGAGAAATGCCTTCAATCCTAAACTGAAACTTACGGGATCGTAATAATAACCACTATTTTTGTCGAAATAAAGACCCGTTTGTTGATCGAAAACATAACCACTGTTGCTTGTGACAGAATCAGAAGTTTGCTTAAGAATATCAGCTATAGATGCTTCGGAACCTATAAACGGTCGTGAAACCACTAAAATTAATTTACCAGCAAAAGCACTTTCTGCGGATTTCACCTCAGCGATTTCAACATCATCTGTCTGAATATCTTTCTCAATCGTTGATACAACCGTGGACGATTGAGTCTTGCGCAAAATTGCAATTTCCTTTAATTGAGCCTCAACTTGTTGTCGAAGGAGAGAATTCTGATCGAGTATTTGTTGTATATAGGTATCTTTCTTGATTATATCTTCCTTCTGAAGATGAATCTTAGTTTCCAAATCGCTGAGTTTATCAAACACGTCGAACTCCATGCTACCTAACATGAAAATAGGTAAGAAAGCATCAAAACAAGGTCTTCAGTTTCACTTAGATTATTCATGCATTGTGAAGGAAAACTCCACGGTGACCTGTCATTCTAAATTGGTAAACACTACGGAGAATGGTAATGACTAAGATCCCGCCACTTATAACAATATTCAGAAGTGCCAGTAGTTGACTAGAACGTCAAATCGTGATTGAACACTTTGCGTATGTGCAACTGATCTAAAAACCCAGTGCATGAAACTAATCACATTTCTACGAGAAACCAAAGATAGCGCAGCCTGATATTAAGTATCAGCGAATCACTCCCCCACAAATGAGGGTTACTCACTGTACAATTTGAGCACACAATACCAAAGAACTTAACCACATTAAATCACAAACACGGGCATAAAGTCCACAACTCTTTTAACCGGGTCCAAAGCGAAGGAGCTAGTGCTGAGTAGGAAACACAAAACAGCGCGTGGGAAGCATGTCAAGTAAAACAAACACTTTGTCATTGAAAAGCAAAGAAGAATACAATCAATTTGTTAGAGGCATAATTTATCCTTTGTTTGGATTGTAAGTTGCTATGTTTGCAATACGTGATGCTTTCCTGGACTATTGAATCCCCGAATTAAAATAAAACACCCTCATAAGAAGTGAAAAAGATCACAAAGTATAAAAGGGTTTGGCCGTTCCTAAATACACATACAATGAATTAATTGTTTGGATAAGTCTTGGGCTAATTAGGAGCTCTTTTCTAGTACCTCCCACGGGCGGCCTGGTCTTCTGGCTGTTAGTAACCGCGATCCATTCTGCACGTCGGCAAAACATATTCTGCTCGAATATTACGTAGGACAAGGCTCGCAGGCCTTCTATTCTCTGGTTTTCATACTCTTAGGACACCCAGGTTGGTGTGGTCTTGACATGTTTATTAGGGCATATCAGTGGGGAAAGCTGGTAAAGAGTATGGGGGAGTGTGGATACGTAACCGCTCTCCGATTTGCAGGACGTTGACTCCTCAGTCACGAGGTTCGATTCATATCCCCACCCCCTCTCTGAAGGGAATATTAAAACAATATGTGTATTACAATTATGCCTCCTATCATTTTGGGGGATCATGGGGTGCTACACATATTCTTGTAAAATTTAGAAGGCTTGGAAGAAGGGCGAATTTCGAAAATCTCATCTTTGCATGGTGCACCAGAATGATGAAACATTCTCCTGTTTGGCCTTTACATATTTCCTTAAATATTCTCATGATTTCGTAAGCATGTTAGGGGTACGAAAATCTTTTTTGCTCTCTGAACTGGTTGTCTCCTGGCCGCTTTATTCAATAATAGCCTCAGTGTTGATCGACTGCTGACTTAATGGTGTGGGTAGATGAACTACTCATAAAGAATAAAGGAACCGCTTTTCTGATTGAATATCACATCAAAACCTTGCATACAGTAGGTACTTGCTTTAAATGAATTGGGATTAAAATTGTCATTAGCAATAAAAAAAAGAAAGCACATGAACCCCAAATGACCATAGAAGAAGAGATCGCAATGTTATTGTGAAAATAGAAAACGGTGAGCCAATAATAAGTGCTAAAGGGTACAGAAAGTTCCAAAAACTGCAAAAAAACTAACCTAGATGAATGAGCGTTTTTTATTAACAACAAACTTCTAATAACCTGATATTCTTATCAAAACTTCCTTGAAATGTGTACGCCCCAAACTATGCAGGATGCATATGGGAACTAAATTTACAAGATAAGTACATATTATACCTTATATCCAGCGATTTTAGCGAAGTCTTGGGCAGAACAGCACAAATAATCTCGTAAATACATTTTAAAAGGATATGCTTAAAATGTACCCGCCAAAATTTGCTAAATATATCACTGTTATCCCTTCCTAATTAATTTGCCTTTTTGAGGCAATTTTATACTGCGATTCTTTCTCCTATCTCGTAAAAGAGTTCTACAGTTTTTATGCAAGTTGCCAAATTTACCACTATGAGTCTTCTACGAGGTCGTAATAAACCAAAGTGGTGCAGCAGAACGCATACTACAAATATGCGGAAAAGTTGAGAGGCTTGGCACGGCTTTATGGCCCAGACCCGGTGGAAACGCAAGCAGTAGCGCAGTTTAACACACATAACTCCTCTATTCTGTTGAGTGTTGTCCCCATCAATCTCCTTCGCCAACCACAAAGCAATTGATGTTTAAAAATCGCCTTCAAGCTCTCAGTGCAGTTGCTGAATTCACTTGCACGCGAACAGGTATATGAGCTCATTTTCACTTATACATTTCGGCAATTACACTGTGTCTAGACTTTAGCCTTATTTATGAGCTGCATTTTGGAAGGCAAATGCCCAAGCTTCGTACTGGTCAAGCTCGAAAGGTGATTTACAATGCGCCATCTCGTATGACTATCGCCAGTCGTAAGAAAAGTACTGTAGAACCAGAGCTACCTAAAAAATACCTGACTTAAAGTTCTTCCAAGGAGCTAGTGTTTTGCAACTGCTCTACTCCGTCACCTTGTCCTCAAATCAATGCTGCCCAGCCACTTACTCGGATTGCATGTAGCCGGAGGGGAAGTGGAGGAAGCATCGATTCTTAAGGTAAGTGCAACCATAATATAGGTATTGTAGACAGCTCTATAATGGAATTTTCCGAATAGCACAAGACTGCTGCCTCTTGTTAATCACCTTCTTCTGATGTATGGAATTAAGACACACGGGAAAGGTTTCTCTCATTTTAGCCGTTCTGCCAATAGGTCCCACAAATTTGACCATTTACAACCAATGCTCTTATTCTGTGGAAATGAAGCCATGTATTTAGCCATAAAAAATAAGGATAGCTGTACATATGGTTTAGTTCTGCCTGCCAAAGCCACAAAAGTTACCCACCGAACCTTCTTCAAAGCAGTAATGGACTCATGCAGTAAGATAGAATATACACCGCCAACCCACAGGGGAGCTAAGAGACCATGAAGCAGAGGTCATCCTGCTTAAGGCGGTAGTCTGGTTCCAACATGCGGAGGTTGAAGTAGTAGCATAATTCAGCACAGAATCAAAAATAAAACTACGGAATGATTGTGAGGCTCTAAATATTATCTGACTTTTAACTATAAAAGCAAGCAAACAAGAGCCTTACTAGTGCACCTTTGACAGGCTGCATAGTCTCCGGGATGTACCACTCTTCCCTAACCCACTGCAATACTTATATTGTTTTAGCGTGCCTTTCAGGGAGGAGGCAATCAGGAAATTCGAATCTCGTGACCGGATCTTCCTCTCCCGCACCTAGTGACTGCGGTTCCCCTCCTTAAACGCTGTATTTTCCCTCTCCACATTTTCATTTTAATAAATATGTCCAAAATGAATCAACCGGGCTTGTCTAATAATGTTAGGAACAGGGGAGTGGAGACAGATGAGTCTCGCTCTACACCATTTTTAGGTCAAAAATATGTATTCTGTCTGAATATTAAACTTTCTTTCAGCTTTAGGAAGATTTTAGGGTGTTTTAGTAATCTTAAAGCAATATTGCATGCCTCCCAGAATATGTTATTAAATTGATATTAATGCGCTACTTCTTTATGGGTGACTCGAAATCGTCAAAACCCACTTCCTCTGTGAAATCATTCGCCTTTACATTCCACAAACTTGTTTGGTTAAAACTAAACCGGCTGACCCTACATTCCTCTTATTACAACAATAAACTTCAGAATTTCAACTATCAATGTTTCATTCAGACCCATATAAATCTTGTATTGGAATGTTTATTTGGGTTGGTTTAATGCCTCCTAACTTGAACGCGGTGGGTTTTCACCCAGACCCTCGCGCATATTGTGTGCCCGGTATGTCCTGCATTGCTGGCCTTTTGCGTTTCTTTTCCTAAACACTAGTGTAAGTGCTTGGGCGATTCCGGCCGATGTGGTTTCGGATTCCTATGTGTTAGTTAGACACAACACCATTGACTTTATAGTAAACCAGAGCTATGCGACCGTGCTGCTTAAATGGGGTGGATGCTTTTATGAGTTTTTACCTTTGTTGTGTGCTTTTTAGTGTTTTGTGCATGGTCCACCCCAATCTGTTGGATTTGAAACTCATTTATGGCTTCATTTGTTGCGAAATTTTTAAAACTGGAAACCCCTATTTTTATTAGTTAATGATGCAACGAAGGCTAGTGTCAAATTTGAGCTGCAGCACAGATTTTGTACTTGATTTGTTCCTCCGTTTCTGTTTTAGACAACACTTCTGGTATGATAGACTTCACTTATCTGCTGTGGGTTCAGCTAGGCATGCCTTAGTTACTTCAGGGTATTTTGGGACGTGTTTTATGTCCAAAGTGTGTACAAATTTTAGTTGAAGAAGTGTCGGAAGATTTGCATTTGTTGTTGGAGCAATCGCTGGTTATTGCTGTTTGTACACTCGTCAACCACAACCTCATACGTGCTATTATGCATTGAAGACTATAACCTATGTGCTTCGAATTATTTGCGGTGTGAGGAAATGCTGAAATAGTTTGTCTACCGATTTTTTCAAAAAATATGTCTGAATTGTCTGATGCTTAGATTGACATGGGTATTTCCCCATTGCTAACTCGCACAAGTAATCATAGGTAAAATACAAATACCACTCGCTTTTGTGAGGTAGTAGTGGGTTTGAGAATGATTGGCCATCTGAGTGCTTCACCTTGGGTTGAGCTAATAAATGGTACTAATATAATGCTCTGTGATGGGAATTTGCAGTTGATACGCTTGAGGACAGTGCTGTGAGCAGGAAACGATGAACAGAGATACCACAATTGATGGAAACTTTCCCTGGGCTGAGCATCTGCCCTTGGCGGAGACTCGCCGCTCTGTCAACCGCACCTCCATTCGCAAGCTGCATCTCAGCCGCGCTAAACTCAAGGCCTCTAGTCGAGCCAGCGCCCTCCTCTCTGGTTTTGCCATGATGGCCATGATCGAGCTCACTGTAAATCCCTTCCTCTCCTACATCAGTAGATCTCTTAAAATGCTATTTTCTGAAATGAGGGATAGCTTACTTTTATGCTTGAACAATAGCCAGTAGGATTAAACAATGCCTCCATTTTAACATTGAGTTACCGAGCGAAAGTAGGGGTAAAAGCATAAATGGATGGGTTAGCAAAGGGTGGTATTTGGTGAGTTGTGGCAGAAGGAGTATATTTTACCTGATTATGCACAGTAAATCAAGTTTTACAAGAAATTTCATCACGATCCCAACATAATGTGTGTGTAGCATGCGATCGAGCTCGTCACAGTGTGCGGATTCCCAATTGGGCAATGTTTGGTGGACTAATGTTTGTTAATGAACTTAAGACTCAATTTATTTTACCGCACAAAGGCAGCACTCTGGTCTATCCAAATGTTCACAAGTAAAAGGCAGTTTAGAGAATACTCTAGTGTAATTTGCATAAGCACGTATTGCATTTTCGTGTTATTGGAAATTGTACCGGGAAGTATTTGCCGAAGATGGTGTTTTTTTAGGCATCCACTGTAACTTCCTGCTATCACTTGTTAGGCAATGTCATTTTTCCGTCTAGCGTTGAATGTACTGTAAAATTGACAGTTCTTTACGCTGCTTTACGCACTGCTTGTTGCAAAGCGGATGTTCATGCCATTTGCCCTAACTCATGGTTGCAACGTTACCACCAGTGACAAGCCTGCGACGGTCTGTTGTCCAATGCCGTAGAGTATGCCATATGCGAGTGGGTTTGGTAACCTGTTTATTACCCATCAAACCAATGGGAAGTGGAAATCGTTTCTGGTGTAGCAGTTTTGTATTTGAGTGGTTAGCCACTTTTATGCTCCAGAAAATTAGCTAAACTGAGCCGAAATGGCCTTCAGAAGCAGTAATATTGGTGCATTTCTCGATACGTCTTTATACAACCATTGATGGATAAGAGCATTGCATTCTATGGATCCAAGCGGCGGCGAAGTTGGTTCCAAGCTCATGCGCTTGTGTGGTAATTTGCCTGAGACTAAGAAATTAACTTAGTGCCCCTCACCACAACTTGAGACTGAATGTGGTCTCTTAAGGTGAATGTGTGGTGTTTTATTCTACTAATGCGGGCCTTTTGGAAGCTTTATCAATGAAATGGGAGCCGATAAATCTGTCCTTTTCGTCTCTCAAGAAGTGCAGTTTTCATCGCCTTTCATTCTTTCCGAAAATTCATTTAAACCTGTCCTTACTTGCTCTAAATGAGGGTTCTAGTTATTGGTAAGAAATAAGCGCAATAGTATGCATAGTCGTCCTTTGGGAATTTAACATTGTGAGTTTCCATAGCACACGTCCGCTGCTGTTACAGATTTTCCTTAATTTAGCTTAGTCTTTTGTTGAGTGCTGTGCTGACAGACTTGAGCGTTTTATTTTAGATAGAGAACGACGAGGATAACCGCGTGCCAGAGGTGCTTTTAGTTGTCTTCACGGCGTTTGCATCTCTGTTGGTCGTGGTCCACATCACTGCCCTCATGATAAGCACCTGCATATTGCCGCAGTTGGAGTGCTATATCAGTGTCTGCGAGAGCTCGGATGGCTTCATTGACTCGCCTTACGAGAAGGTTCGTGGGTGAGTTGCTGGCTTGCACCATCCACCCACCTCCTACCTTACTTGCCCATTGGTCTCCCGAAACACGAATGAGTGCTGTCATCTGACCGAGATGTCTGCAGCCACGTCGTTTTGTCGCTAAGAGTGGGTCGTGACTGACCCTTGAGCTGTGCCTTTGCTGGTGAAGAATCCCTTCGTTCGTTTGTTTTTGGGCGCTTGTGCACTAAACTGTCTGCTCCGTGTCAATTGCTTTCGGCAGTACGAGTAGCTAGGCTGGTAGTTGGGCATGAATGGTGTCTGCTGATGGGAGCATATTTGAACTTTTATTGATATTTGTAAAAAACCACAGACTATAGGTGAGGTTGTTCTTTGGGATAAGTGAATTCCGTCTTCCATGAGGTCAAAAGGTTAACCCTATTATTTGCTCACAAATTACAAATGATCATATTGGAAAAATCGGGGGAAATCATTAAATACACAATGCATACAGCTTTTGACAATCGCTCGATTGCTTGTGAGTTGGCGCTTGACTTTGTGAAGTTGGTCTGAAGTAGTCCATGAGTACATTGTCTATAATTGTGGCACACTTTCCATCAGCATGGTTTCGATGACAAATGGTCGAATGTTACTGACGAGAGGAAATTTCCTGCTTTCTTGCACAGTAAAAAGCTGAAAATTCTATGGAGATTATGGTTAAAGTGACGGTAATGCCAATTATTCGCCGAATGGGCCATGTCGGATTTTTCTGTGTCGTTGAAACTGATGGCTGTGGTTCAGGTAGTTTCGGGAGCTTCGCTTGCTAATTAGGTGGTGTTCTAGTAGCCCATTCCGCTCGTTAGCAGTCAGTCACCTTGGTGCAGACACAACTGATAGGCTGTTTGGCCCTCGTACAGGAAAACGGCAGTATTTTTCTATTTCAGCTACATTGAAATGTCCTGGATATTCAGTACAGCCCTTGGGATGCTGCTCTTTCTGGTGGTAGTTGTGCTGGCCTGTTGGGTGAAATTCTGGAATATCTCCAAGTGGTCGGCAGGCGTCTGCTTCCTTATCGTGGGTCCAGTGGTGGTGGTCTTCGTACTCTTTGCTATCTTTTTTTACCGCACCCTCATCTCCTTCAAGTATCAGCACGCTTCCAAGGTGGTCGACTCGCTTGACCGGTGGATGTCAGAGCTGGAGAAGGGGACCTACTCGCCGACGCAGCCTCACAGTACTTCCTTGCCCACCAGTCCCACCCTTAAACGATCTCAGGATGTCACCTTCGTACCATCCGCCTGACCGCTTCCATTCCTACTTGCCTATTTATCACAACCTCACTGCCTTCTTTCTAACTTCAATATATGTGCGTTGCAATACTACTTGTTCTATTGCTTTGCGTGAATTAACCTTTGCATTCAGGTACTAAATGCCATACATGACCCGCTTTATCGTTAATGCCTCCGTTGAATTGTTGTAGCCACTCTAAGGTGTTCGATGGCTTTGTTTGCAAATAACTTTGTTGGTGGTTTATCAGTCAATTCAAAAAGGATGTGAGGTAGTTTTGCGCAAACAATACCCGATCTTGAGGTTTTGCTTCTGGAGAATAAAATGAACTCACTGAAATTGCAATTCCAACTGCACCGTGAAGTTAGTCCCGTCCGATGGAGAAGATGGGATTCAATATAGCTTATCAAAATGAGTGGTTAAAGAGCAAGGCTATTTATAAGTAACATTTTCGATCCGCCTGGTAGGTCTTCTTCTGCATTGCATGGAATTGGGTATGATCTGTTGGTTGACTGAGGGAAGCACGCAGTTGTGTGTTGACGGAGACGCAGCACACACTGTTGATGGAGCAAGGCCAGTGACGCAGTTTGCCGTGCATGTTGTAGGCCGAATTCTTCGACTTTGTCGTAGTGGGAGGTGGGATAGCGGGAGTGGTGTGCGCGGAGACCCTATGTGGACTGATCGTGCCCCAATTCTCAGGCTTGTGCGCTTCGAGGGAGCCACCGTCGCCGCAGTGGCGAGTCTGCCTCATCTCCGCCTCGCCTACCCTTAAGACCATCGTCAACGTGCGCCATGTCACTCGCCTCCTCGAGTCTTTTGACGTGGCCGAGCGTGACTCCGAGGACTGGTCACGCGCCTGGCCCCACATTCTCACCGTCCTCATCGATAAGGTGGCCAAGGTGAAGTACGTCCAAGGCACGCCTCTCCTTTTCATCTGCTTTCACTTGATCTGAATGAAACTGCATGCCTTGGAGGTGTTTTTGACCAGCTGCGGAACCATTTTCTCTCTTCCCCGTAAAAGCATCAATTCATTGACTCAAAAGATGGGAAGATTGCATAATTCCGATTTGCTAGAGTTGACTGACCCAGCGCAGTCGCACGTATAAGTGATTCTTGATCACTATCCGACCAGTATATTGGCCATTCACTTAACGCATAAGTTCTTACTTCCACTTTTGTTTCGTCAGATAAATGAAGCACCGTTTTTGTTAACTGTTTTGACTCTCACCCTTTCACAATCGACTTGGCGAGAACACAGCCGTTGGAGTGATTCTTTTCTGCAGTGTTAGATTTTGTTAGCTTGGTGGAGTCCGAAAGGGGAAATAACGATAGGTAGTAATGTATACTTTTGGAAATTGAGGGTTTCTCTTGACCACTGCAGCTGCGAAGGTCGGTTGGTTCATTTGGCGGGGAGGCCAAACCGGCCGTTGAAGTACGGACGCATTTGCGTGGCAACGGGAGGAGTGCCTCGGGCAATTGTACCTCACCATCCCCTCGTGCTGACCCTTCGCGATACCGAGTCCGTCACCCACTTCCGCTCTCGCCTCTCCAGTAATGCCTCCTCTTTCTCCCTTTGCTGAGCCAGATTCTTGCAAGTGCATTTGCGTCGTAATGCGTCTCATATGGCGAAGTGTTAAGTTGCTGGTCTTCGCGTCTTCTTACTTAATGCTCATAAATTGTGTATCATTTGCGCCTTATAGAAGTGCGATATAATACATAGAGGAGATTATTTGCATGGGAAAGGTGCAATAACACCTATTTGGTGGAGACAGAGCTCGTTTAACCAATGGATCTACACACTACCACTTTCTGTTGATATTACCAATATTCTCATGTCTGTCTGTGTGAAACCGCGTTATCGTTTGATCTGGTAGTTGTAAATCAGTTGGTGAATGCAGAAGAAATAAGGAAACCACTTGTTAAAAGGCTTTATTGGTATAAGCATCAATAATTCACCGTTATTATTTTGTCGTAAACCTTAAATGCTTACGATTACTCCTCGTCTTATGCATAAATCTCTGAATGTGCATGCCAGAATGACCCATGCAGAAACCCTAGTTTTGCTTTTCACAAAAACCGGGAGCACTGAGACGATATTAGCGATATTTGGAACTGGCATTTCAACAAGTAGTGCTCAACAAGTCTTTGTTAAAAGTAGCGTAAGCGCTGGAGTGCATTGATCTTAAACCACCTTTGGATTAGGGAATTTCAGATTTTTTGAAGTGCCAAGTAAACAAGCACTACTGCCGGTGTAAAGTTCATCGCTCGATCATCCTCTTGACCCCTCAAGTGGCGTCCAGTGCCAGTGTTTTAGCAAATAATCTAAATGACCTAATTTTTTATGCTGTTTTTGAAACGTCGTCAACTACTTTGGTACTCAGACTTTCCGACAGCTCGAATGATGTTTTCAAGATGGAACTCGTAGAAACTTGGAACATGAGGCATGAATCCTGAACTAGGCAAGGATTGGAACTTGTGCTTGCGGGGTTTTAATCTCCAGGTGGCTGCCCTCATCATTTGGCGCTTTAATATCCAGTCGTGTTGATATGTGGAGCTTGGACAAACAAAGGCTGCGTGTACCCAAGTTTCCGTTTAACTAGCACTTACCGTATGATGAGGTCGAGGCTAATTCAAACTTCTTGTGTATTGTCCATTGTTGGCTCTTGATTCAGGTCATTGGGATTAAGATGAAACGCTGCTGTACATCCTCGTAAACGGCGTCAAAACGATGGTTAAAACCTTTGAATTAAGTCAGCTTCCATTGTGTCGCATGTCTGACATTTTGGCTACTTGAGGAACCTGACCGTCTGATGTGGTAGTTTACGTGATAGATGCAATGCCAACCAAGGGAGCGTTGAAGCGTGAAAGCATTTGACGGGCAATCATTTGCTCAAATGAAGCAAATCGTAGGTGTTCGGTCGTGTTATATGGTCTTAAACAGTTATTCCAAGTGGTCCAAGAAGACGGGTTAAAATGTACGGGTGGAAAATCACAAATGGAGAAGAAGTGGGCTTTTCTACAAACCTTAAATGTAATTCAGCACTAGAGTAATTGTCTACAATCCGCGACATCCGTTGTAACACTGATAGAGGCTATAGAAACGGTGTAAAACAATCGTCACATGGCATTAACCTGAGTGCAATGTTTGTACACTGTAAAAGGTGCCCGTCGTGTTGTGTTGGTTGGCAACGGAGGCATAGCCACGGAGGTCGCTTATGAGATCGAGGGGTGTCAGGTGATATGGGTGGTGAAGCATGAGAACATCTCGGTCCCCTTTCTGGATCCTGCTGCCTCGCAGTTCCTGCTTCAAAGTGGGCTGGCAAAGCGCCGCAGAGCGACCGGTGAGGCTGCCAGTGTTGGCAATGGAGGTAGAAAGAGTAAAACAGCGCCGCTGATTCGCACACTGCGCTATGCCCTCGCGGACCGCAATACCGCCGGAGGTTCTGGTCCTCAACTCGTGCCTGCCCCCAATGATACTCGAGCGGAGGAGGCGAACAAATTCACCGGCTCAGCTCTTGGGCCCGACTGGACTCAGGGCCAACAATTCACTGGCATTATTGACAAGAGCACACTCAATCGGCCCCTCAAGGTAATCCCTAAGTTCCTTCTTTTTCACCTTCTTGACTGTTTTAACCCAAAGCACGCAGTGATTAAAGTCTTATGGATTGGCTTTCGGTGCTCCTAATATTACCACTACTTGTCACTATCCTTGAAAGTATAAATGCTTTGTCAAGTGAAGAGGCAATTACTGTGCCACTTCTCGAAATGTCAAGATAGCTTTGTTTTGCGTAAATGCGGCTCATAAAGGCAATGTAGTTATTACCTATATGCTTACTTGAGTCGAGTGGAAAAGTGGGTAATTTGCAATGGAAGAAGTGCCGTGTTCCGTAGGAGTGTTCACAGTTAGGCAGGTATACACGAAGGCTTCCACTGTGTTCTCAGTCCAGGCAAATGTTATTCCACATGTTATGGACCCTTATCAGCGATTGCATCTTTTATGACGATAGAAAACCCTGACTGTTTTTAAGGCTTGAAAATAAATAGACTGCCTTTTGACTCAACTCGTATTTACGCGTTTCTACGCTTACTTAATACTAGTTAGTAAATAGTGGGATTGCTTAAGTAAGCACTGGGTTGCCGAAGTCGGAGAGTTGGTTGATTTCAGTTACAAGTGAACTTGACGCTGAAATGTTGAAGCAATTATGATTTTGGTGTAGTTGCTTACCTAGAAGCCGTGGTGTATGCTGTTAGGTAGTGTACAAGTGTCAAGTGGATCAGATTCTCTCCCCATCGGAGTTCGCTGAATCGGGTGACAGGGCAGTCGAATGTGATGCGGAGGGCCCTCTGTTGCCACCCCTCTGCTGCAGGAGCTGGCCCGTGTACGTGCGGCTGAGCAATGGAGAGTGCTACGGTGCGGACTTTGTGATCAGTGCGACGGGGGTGGAAGCGAATCTGATCTCCTCCACCTCTGCCTCCGCCTCCACTATCACTGCACCGTCAGCGCCATGCCCTGTGACGCTGGAAGCCCGAGATGGCATCGCTACGGCCTCCATCGCAGAGGGTGGTGGCGTGGTGGTGAATGAGATGATGCAGTCCTCCGTGCCCGAGGTCTACGCCGCCGGCGACTGCGCCTTCGCGGGCTGGCAGCCCAAAGCACCGCACTGGTTCCAAATGCACCTGTGGTCGCAGGCTCGTCAGACCGCCTTTCAGGCAGCCAAGAGCATGTTCTACCACACCATTGGTGAGGAGGTGCCTCTAGACTTCTCCTTCGAGATCTTCACTCACGTCACTCACTTCTTTGGCTTCAAGGTCTGTCTCATTTCAGGGAATCACCTGACTTTCATTCGTGACGCTAATGCGAGTAGATGGCTTTGTTTATTCGGTGCTCATGCTTTTGCAAATCCGTCTCTCTACTGAGGAAGGTGGGGTAGATTTGCATTTGGTAGTTGAGACAGGATGCGACTGCCAGCTAACCGCACATTGATGCAACTGTGTGGCTGAATCATGTTTGTTCGGTGAAAAGGTTCCCAATGTGCTATGGAGCGCGGTGTTATCATTCTTGTGTCGAATCATATCAATTCTTCTGAAGTGGAACATGAAAACCAATTTTTGCTCTGACGCATGCCAATTGGAACAAATGAGGCGGCAATAGTGGTCCAACTAGTGTACAGGTGGAATAAAACACTGGTATTGACACTTGTGAGGGTGGAAAACTTGTTACTACTGCTTTTGCAATGAACATATGTGATATATGGAAAAGTGAAGGTTGACAAACGTGTAATCTAGTGTTCATAGACTAACTTGGACCTTTCCTGCCTCACTTGATTTGCTCTCAACACTTAGTAATGAATGCATAAAGGAATGGTGGAGGTTGACTTTAATCGGAAGTAGTTAGAATTGCATACATTGTGCAATTTAATTGTACCACATTGGTTTCCGACACGAATGCTTTCAATGGCTAGTGAAGCTTTTGTAATCGAACATATCTCCGTTAGTGTTCACTAGGCTCTTCTCGCTGCATAAACGAATTGCATGATGCCCCAATCTGAACTAACACAATTATAAAAGAGCACGGTGGAGGCAGAACACATTCTCCTCCAAAACATGTATCGGTGTACACCATAGCACCACCTTGAGGCGTTTGTCAGTACCTTTTGATGTACTCAGATCAGATAGCTGTATTGGTAATTCATGTTCCATCAAATCGCTTTGGTAAACTTGGTAAGCGCATTGACGAGTATGTGCGTTTTGACTAACGAAGCACTGGTTACTATGTTGTAACTCTACTCGGAATCGTTGAAGCCCCCTTTCTTACACAAAAACCCTTGAGTGTGGGGACAACGTCTATCACCTTTGTTGCTACTCAAGAATTCCTCATTAAAAACACTGTCAACTCCCCTCATCGCGTTCACTCACTAACCCATCGTCGTTGTCAAAATTGGAAATGCTTCTATAGTGGGACGCCAATAGCTGCTGTCATTGTTTTGGTTTTATTAGGTTTCAAAGCCATTGGGAGTTTCAAGTATCGGGATATTTGATGACAAATGAAGTTAGTTCACAGGCATACTCCGGACTGTGGTTGGAGACTCAGTAGTTAATAATTGGCGCATTAACTCATGTTCTCTCAGTAAGTTTTCGAGGGTTACTCAACGATTAAAGCAGTTTTTGGTGGGTTTGCTTGTTGTTCTATTGGTTGCCATACTCACAGTCATTGGCGGATTCACTGAACTGAATTATCTTTCTAGGTGTGGGTAGTATAGGCGAGACACTTGACTGTCCTTCGAATTCTCACCCGAATGCAACCAATTAGTCTATTTTTCATGACATTGGCCAATTTACAGGAGCATTCTTCTGTTTTTCATTTGCGCAATCCTTTCATGCCAAGTTTTGATGCAAGAGTATTCAGCGATGCATATTGGTGGAAGGAACATTTAGAGGAAAATTTACCACCCCCTTATCGGATGAGCTTGAAGCGCGGATGGGTTGCACCTAAGTATGCCCAAGTGTTCGCTCTGGTGAGACACATATGCCAAAGGCGGTGCAAAGCATCTTAAGTGCAATTCGCGTTTTTACTGTCACTAGTGGTATAAAAGACGGAGACAGAACTCTTTTCAATATGGTTCGTTTTGTTTGCTTACGTTTTTTATTTTCCCTTTTATGTCCCTGTTTTTGAGATTGGTCGAAACGAAATGCATATGGGGCTTTAAAACAGTTCCATCATGCGAGAAAGTGTAGAAACTTTTAATTATTCGTTAGTCTGCATCCCACGCATCCCTCGTTTGTGAATTATAGAGCACTTCTCCCTAAGTAAGTAAAAAAGGCATTTTAAGTTTCACGCATTTAAAATTAGAAGGGGCATTTTTTCCACATGAAGCCTCATAAGTGCGCGAAGTTGTAATTCTAGGTGACGTAAGGGGGATACTTTAATAGATTCTGTCTTGAAAATAAAAAAAGAAACATTGTCTGAATCATCAAGTGAGATACAAGCAGTAGTGAATACCGAGAAGCAGTGAGGTTGCATTTTTTGTTGTTTGATATTGGCGTGTAGTACCATTGAGGTGACCAACTAGTCCCAGGCTCTCCAAATCGTTGTCACCATCGTCGGAAATGGCAGTGCAACAGTCAAAGTTTTTAAGGATCTGTTGAACTGTATTAGACAATAGACTTAGTACGTTTTTTTTTGTTGCAAAGATGTAATGTCAATATCTGTGTACTTAATGAGCTGAAATGGTTTGTGCTAACTCCAAGTGCCCTTTAATCAACGACTGGGATTGAATTTGTCGCTCCTTTTTAGAAAATCTAAGTTGTTTTACTCCATTCAAGGCAGGGTGAAATTTTTGTTTTGGACATTATGCTGGTTTCTCGGCTATGGTGTGGAATGAGTTTTCCATCTCGGGGTAAACTTGCTTGGGAATTTCATTGAGAACAACTCTTTACTTGTATCGTTTTACCTGTGCTGGGTTGTTTTACGCTCCGTTCCTAGATTTCTGAAACGTATTGTCCCGATCAAAATAATCTGCAGTTTTTCGCTCTTAGCCCATCGCGAATCACTGTCCTTGTTTAGGTTGCACCTATCAGGAACCATCATATGGTCATGTTATTGTTTATACTTTTCGTATTTGAGGAACGTTAAAGCTTTGTCAGTGGTGATGGCCAAATACGCATCCTCCTAGGAGCAGTCATTTTCCAGGCAGAATGCATCCATTCGCAGACATTAGTGTTGCTCAATGTTAATAGGCATTTGCAACACTTTGTACACTTAAGAAGTAATTAATTTGGCGTAGTCCTTATCTTGAAACTGCTAGCATTGAAACTCGATTTTAGTTGAGCGTTTTATTGAAAGTAAGCTAATGTGCATGAACCGGCAGTTTTCATCGAAACGGTGAAAAACTAATTGCCCACAAATGTGTCGCTCGATCTTACGTCGATCATATTTTGTGTGCTATCGCCGGTCCCAGTGTTGTACGAACAACAATCAAATCCTTTGGTATTGCTCTACACAAGTAAGTTAGCCCTGACTGCACCATCGCTGGTGAGATTGGATTGCTTAATACCTTCAGCCACTTTATTTTTTCCATCCCATCCATTCGGCAGGTTGGAAAAATACTGGGGACACCAAAGTGATTCACAATAAAATGAAGCAACTATAATTGAGAAAATCTTTCATGCAATCTGGGCACGATTTCGTACATTCAAGTTGCAGGCATAAATAGTACCGTCCTTTAAAGAAGAGCATGCAGCTTCACACTTAAGTATTTTTCATCATGAAACCGTAAACCACTGCATAAGCCTTTGTACTTTGTATTGTACGCAAAACAGGGTGCCGTGTTTGGGAGATTGACAGCTTTCCCTTCTTATATGTGCTCTGTTGACACCTGTCTCCTCGGTAGATCGTACTTCTGGGCCTCTTTAACGGGCAGGGGCTGAACCTGACCTCCCCCGAGGTCTACGTTCTGCTGCGAATTACGCCGGGCGAGGAGTACGTGAAGTGCATCATGTGCAATGGGCGGATGCAGGGCGCTCTGCTGATTGGCGAGACTGACCTGGAGGAGACATTTGAGAACCTCATCCTCAATCAGCTCGACCTATCACAATTCGGCGAACACCTTCTCGATCCCAACATCGACATTTCAGACTACTTTGATTAGTCGCTCTTCACTACCACCCTACATTGAGCTGAGAAATACGATGTAACGGTACAACTTGCACTCTTCTCAATGCTTTTTCTACTACTTTGCCACTATGGGCTGCATTAATTTGATGCTTGAGCAATGTCTTGTTTTGGCACTGCCGCTGAGAGATGAGGTGGTGATTAGTCGGACTGATAATGACCACTCCCAGTGGTTACATTGCTTTCTGTTTCGTTTTTTTTTGCCATCCACACAAACTTGGTCCGATTTGCCAAGACAATATGCGTCATCGGGGCTCTTTGTTTCCGCCTTTTTCACGGGCTCCTATTGAAGTAGTTTCAGCTTACGCGTTTTCCGTGAGTCACCTGTTCTACCGGCACCCAGCTTGGATAGGTAAATGAGGAATCCACGACATCGGTTAGTTTTGTTTGCCTGAATGCGCTCTCAAGACGAGAAGTGGGTTCTTTGCGATTCCTGTATGCACGACTGCAGGTGGATTGATTTTTGGTGGTACTGCTGCTGCTGCTATTGTTTCAAAGAAGTAAAAGTTTGTTAAAAAGTGGAAGTAAACAATAGCATTTCGTAGATGGTGGTTTTCTTATGTGCAAATTCGCTCAAACCACTTTGATTTTTGACAAAAAGTGATGAGGCTGCTGGCTTTTGGTCGCATTTAACGAGTTCCCTCAAAACGTGGAAGCTGATCTTAAAGTTGACAACTTGGTTGCGTTTGTGTAGTCAACAGCCAAACACTGTGTTTGTGCAGCTAAGCTGCCGAAAAGCCCGTAGCTAGCTAATCAACACGTCTCCATGTGTGGAGTCAGTCACGCTATCGTCAAAGTAGGCTGTTTTTTCTGTTTCAGTGGTCGGATAAAACGCTCCCTTTTTCTTCCCTTTAAAAGAGGACTTTTTGCAAAATAAACGACTCAACGCAAAGCCCCTTTTCACCCTCATAAAGTTTTCCCCATGAGGTGGACATAACAAGTTGGGAGATGAGTGACAAGTCACTCCTCCACAGAGTAATGTTGTCGCATCTGAAATGAGTCTCGCATAAGCAGGGCTTAACTGCTTTCGTGGAAATTGTCCCTCAGACTACTCTACGCCAGAAGTATTCACCGATGATTGCATTTCGAGCGGAAAGTCCACAATTTAAAGGCAGGGTTATCAGAGTCAGATGAGCTTAACTTTGCTGCACTAGCGATGGTGTACACTGACTAGCGCGAAAGCCAACAAACTTTTGGTGAAATCAGGGCTTCGAGAAGGTATTGAGTGTGCCACATTACGGATCGCAGTTTGTGTTGGCAGATTGACCCAAGCTCCTCAATGCTGAACCTGCATAACTTATTTCGTGGTATGGTCACTTAAGCAACCATACCCTTAGAAGGATGTGGTTATCAAAAGCAATACCTTTCGCCTTAAGCAGAGAAGAATGGCACCTAATAATAATCGAGTATCGGACATTTATCAGCTCGAGCTCGAAAATAATAACAATAATAGTAATAGCGTTTTGTCCAACCCTGTTACAAGGTTTCCATTAGGAGGGACGGAGAAAAGCCGTAAACGTGGGGCTGTACGGTGGGGATTTTTATGAGAAATAGTGACACTGGTGAGCTTGCCGCACAGTGATGCACTGATCGAGCTGCAGTTTTAGTAATGGCTGTTGGTTGCGGTGGCGTTTTGAAGTATGCAATTGAACTAAGCCGGGTGGTTGTGTGATGGTTGCAATGCGTGGCTCCGTCTCCGGCAGTTGATTTTCGAGGAGACGAAAGTGTTTACTGCACGACGGGTACGAAGGCTGCTTCATGGTGTTGGTCTCAGTGATATGTGCGTTTTATTGGTGCACATCTCCACCATCGCAGGTAGAAAAGTGGCCAATCTTGGACACTCATTAATAGCCTAGTCGTGTGTGCTTGCTTTCGGTTTGAAAAGGCGTTATTTCATGGTCACTTCATGTATTTTCACTAACCATTGGCTGATTGTGCTCTTATTTGGCAGTTCCATGCTTGCTTCCATTGGGGTAATTATTCAATCAATGTTGTGCTTGGAGCATTTTAGACAGAGGGCATAGCAGGGGTGAACGTAACATGTTTTTCTAACTCACAATTGAGTGTAATGCTAAGGCGCATTGTTATCATCCAACTGAACGCATCGTGGCACTCGTTTTCACATCTTGCTTGTATCACAGCGTAGTTAGCATTGAGCCACATCCTGCCTGGTGGGCAATCACGCAATTGGCTCTGACATGCAGTCTTGGTGATACCTCTATGCCAAAAGAGTTGGCGCAAATGAAAGCAATCGGTGACAACGTCATTAACGGGCTGTTTCCATTAAGTGGTTTTATCCACCCACCTCTCCTTGAGCCGTCGTTCCCTGTTTCGCATTTCGAGCAGATCTGTAGTAACTGCGATATCAAGGCAGCGTACAGGTTGGCCGCAATTCCACCAAGAAACTGAATCATGACTGTGTTTACTTTAGTTGTCATCGCTAAAAGGAAGGAAAAACATGTCTTGGAGAATTTTGGTCAAGAATTATTCTAGTCACGCTATCAAAACATCATCAGCAAAGTAATGGTGTCTAGAAGTGGGTCCGTTCTTTTGCACAGCGATTGCCAACACGTTCACCCATGTGACTAAGACAAGCAGATTGCTCGTTGACGTGGCTGTCCACCCACCTTCCAACGATAAATGGCAGTGAACATGAGAGTTCTGTTGAGTAATGACCAACCCTTCAGATCAGCTGGTGGTGTGAATAGTGCCTGAGCTGAATAGCCTAGCGAAAATTCTGCATCTCGTTAAAAGCACCATCGGTAGCGAAATTGAAGACGAATGTTAACAAAATTATGCAATTATCTCGGAACGCGTTGCGAAATACTGAATGGAAGTGAGATGTGCATTCAAGCCCCCTCAATAATTAAACAAATGAGGTCATGGAATTAAGGAGAGGCGGATATGTGTTTAGGGGAACTTGCCACTTGCCTTGATAAATTTGCAGAAATAAGTTTGTTTTTTACAAGTGGAAGCACTGACGTAGCATTGAAGTTCCGAAAACTCGACTAAATGTGCACGGTTGCTTTTTTTGGGAGGCGAAGGCGGGGGTGGGGGTGGGGAGTATTGAAAGGCAAAAGCTGCGTTAATTTCGTTAGGGTAATGGTATTCGCCGCAGTCTGGCGACACTCTACCCCCAGTGGAGCATGGCTGCGTGGCAGAAGGTGAAGTGTGTTGGAGGAACTGCGAAGCAGGTGCGAGGTTGACCCAGATATAGAAGGTGATATCGCCTTACTGCTGGCAATTGGAACACCGTGACAACAGCTGACAAGCGCTCTGTAGACCTCGTTGTGATTGCTGACAATGGGATGAGGTGATGGAGGAGTGCCTCCAGTTTCACTTTGTGCAAAAATCTCCTTACTTCAAGGCACTCTCGTCTAGGAAAAGTGTATATGGTGTGATGTGGCCCGTAGGCGAAATAATAGAAATCGACGGTGTGCGTCACTTGGTCAGTTCCATCTCGAAGGCACTGGCTTAAATGGCCTTGCATTTCCCAAAATATCAAGGTGAGCAATCAAATAACTGGACGAATGGTATTGCGCTTCTACGAAGTGTTTCCTTTGCACAACTTGGAGACAGCGTCAGTCACAAATATTTATTATTCATTCCTCTAGACTGGCCTTCTTGGCGAGAACCACATCTGTCCATGGCAGTAGATGAATAGAATAAACTCTGGTACATGGCTTGCCTCCATTTGAAGGAGGCTATTTACGAAGAAGGGTATTAGAATGACTTTGGGTCTCGATGCGAGAAAGACAAGCAATTTAAATTTTTGCATTAAATATATTTGTAGAAGGGTACAGATGGTACTTTGACGTCAAATAATCCTTTGTGCGAAACATACACACAACAGTGGATTTAGTTCTTGTCCGTGTGATTTATCGCCCGTCATGTTTGTTTCATTTCATGGCCAATTTAAAGGAATTGTATGGTTGTACTAATGATTGCGTGGACCAAGCTAACAGACCAGGGACACGAAATTAATAAGGCAGGCGGTAATGAAAGGCACTTTCGTTGGATGGAAACAAAGGGTAAGTAGACTTTGAGTAAAGTGGAGGCGTTTTAACCCTCAAGTGAAATTTCGGAAGTAAGGCTGAAAGCGAAGCACTCAGTTATGCGCTTACAAGTATCATACTGTCTCAAAAATGAACCAACAAGAAAATAATTATTATTGCTTTAGCTCTAATCTTTTTCAGACCACGGATTGAATGCCCAAGCATGATTAGTGGATTGTCAGAGGGGCTGACGTCACTGAAGAGGAAGTAAACGAGCCACACGTGACCCTGTGACATGTCCCTGGTGGAGGCCAACCACCTTTCCGGTGTGTGAAACGCTCAATTATAAAATGTATGAGAAGTTGGGGTGGGGGCGGGACAGCTGATGGTAATTGTATGCAAATCGCAATGTTGTATCCGTTCACTCATTTGTGAACGTAAAAACTGGTTAATAAAACGCCTATACGTGGGCATGACATGGTGGAGGCTCATTCGAGCACCACTTGAGAATCCACGAAAATACACAGAGTAGTGAAGCCTTGGATTTGCCCATTTCATCTCTCATATCCGCACTCTATGCTATGATTAAGCACTCTGACTTGGAACTTTCCTTTGGGCAATTCAGTAATCGAATCCCTTAGAGGTTACCCCATTCCGTTAATAAATCATGTGACCTGTGGCATCAGGCCACTGGAGAAGATAATAACCGAATGATTGCGCGTTGAATACGCGCAATAAACCGCTATCCTGAAGGTTGAGAAGTATACGAATTGTGGTCCAAAATTGCCTTGCCACCACTCAGGTCAATTCATTCGTTTACAGCGCTTTATGGCCCTCACAAACACATGCTTTTTCCTGGCCTTGCACAAGACCACATTACTTTCAATTGGGGGGAAGTGTGTCCCGGTGAAAGGGCAGGCGGGGCGGGGCGGGGCGGGGCGGCCCGGAAGCTAGTCCCATCTTATCATCAAACGGCTGACAAAGCAGAGCTTAGGGCCGTGCTATTGTTTGCCAACAAACCACCAGCACATTATGCTCAAATTATCAACGGATATACGTTCGCGTTTTATGCTTCGTCCTTTCAAGGCCCTTTGTTTTTGAGGCTATTTATAAAATCCATTGTCTCCCTAATGCTTTGGGATTTACCACTGCATGACGCAAAATATGTCTCTTTGGATACTTCTAAGTACTGTTGTGAGTAATTAAAAACGCGATGAAGCACATCATCAAATGTCTTCTAAAATGGCACAATGGTGACTCGCAATCAACTTATGCTGCCAAGGTATTAAATGTGAGCCAATGCTAAAGTGATCAAGCCGCCATGATTGTAAATATACAAATTTATCACAGGTTATTTCGAAACAGTACCGGACTCACGGCATTCCGTTAAATTCACCCATGCGGGCATTTGCTATTTCACTGCAAATGTATGAGCGTTTGCCTGTCACCACTTTTCCCCTTGCTAAGCACAAGAGTATGCAAAAAGCTGCCTTAAAGCTAATCTCCAAACCCTAAAATAATCGCGTAAACGGTTGCTGATAGGTGACGCAAATGAGGCATTACTTTGTGGACTTGCCTAAATGCCATTGTGCGCTATTGTGGCGGGTGTAAGGAGACCCACAAAAATGCGAGTCTGCCACAGCCGTCTCCCTCACCGAATTCACGAGGCGCTGTCTGTTGATCAATAGCCTCGCGTGGAAGTCGCTCAAAAGAGGCGCCGCCTCGAGGCGAGGGAGCAGGATGGATCTGGGTGAGTTCACTAATCATGTATAAACAGTTAATTGCAGAGAAATCTCCTCTCAGAGCTATGCAACGTGGAAAATCCAAGTTGATTCTAAATTTTGCACATTTAAACATTAACGAGAAGCCCTACGAGGTGGGTCGACTGACTGTCTAGCTTCGATTGCTACTTCTTTTATAAAAATAAAGCAGAAGTCTACTTTAGGGGTGCTGCTGATGAAGTTTTAAAATAATCGCAATTGCGCAGACACACATTTTACCTACCTAATAAGATAATTTGAAAATTGTGACTTTTTTTTATTTTAGTCAATTTTGTGGACAGCAGTGGACTTAGTTTTCCTCTAACCACCTCAATTTATTACCTCTGTCATTCGGAGTTTGACGCAATCCTTGTAATGTCGGTGGTCGCTGTCCCTATCTGATAACCCAAGCCACAAAATTTTCTCCTGAGCCCAAAACTAGCAAAATTAATGATACACACCCTGTATCCCTATCCAGACGCGTGTCTTTCAAAGATGAGGGGGGGGGGGGAAAGGCACCGTCGATTCTAGTTGTCATTTTTCGCAGCGACCTGGTGACATTTAGTGGTAAATTACACAGACGGTTATTAGTTCAACAAGAATGCAGTATTTGCACGCTTATTATTTGTATCCAAGATCCAGAATAACTTGAAATAAACGCAGAAGTAAAGTCTTTCGATTTTTACTGAAGTTGATGCTTTACCTAATGAACAACACCAAGATGTGAACTGGCACTTGAATTAATTTCTAGAAAGATGTTTTCCTTACACTCTCAGCAGTGGTTTCCACAACCTCTAGCGCATACTTTAGACAACAATTTTTGATGATGACGAGGAAGCATCGAAGAGCTTGTCTCAAATGCCAAGCAGGTCGCTCAAATGCTTTGATTATCGCACCTTGCCATGGCTCGTTCCCCACGATCTGCGGTCATCATCCACGCCAATCGAGAGCCACTCCGGTGGCTCTATCCATCGTCGTAAGAAAAAAGGCATCCATTCAAGCCGTTCGACAGGACATGCTGCCACCACCAACAGCATCAATAAATTGCAAAGTGCGGATTTCCGCCGTGTCAATTTGGAATCTCGCGTCATTCTCAACACTGGCCATATGGCATGGAAACATGCAGATGATGTGAAGGTTAAGTTGGGATCGCCGTGCATCTATTTTAACCATCCAGAGTTCTTCAAGAAGGTGGGGAAGATTCTCGCGAAGGAATACAAGTTGAAGTGTAGGCAGGAGGAAAGGCGACGAGAAGAGTGGGAGAAGAGCCGCAAACTCCTCCAAAGTGTCAGAACTGCCTACACTTCAGGACGTCCAAGTTTCTGTGCTCCCACAGAGAAGTATTCAGAAGAGAGCCAATGTATTTCTACTGCAAGGCGACCTGACTCATCTCCGGTCCGAAAGAGTTCACGATCCAGTGGCACCAGTAGACCACTGTTTGATCCTCGCCCCTGGCGAAGAGATGTGTTGGAATTAGATGGCGATGATGACGTGTCTAGATTAAGCGATCCCCGAACAACCATCAGTGAGGTGTATGCAAATGCAAGCGAATTGATTGACAATCACCTGGACATACTGGATAGGCAGAAACTTGTAGAGCTTTTGCCCGTTGTGTACTCACAACGAAATAGTGAGCAATGAAAATACACGAATTCTCGGAATGTGCAAGTAGTCGTTGTTGTCATCGTAACTTTCTATTGGGTGGGATTTTGCCTGAAGCCTATGTTCGCCTCGTATGAAATAGACCAGTAGGATGTTTAGTAAAGCAGTGGGATTTCCAAAAGAGGGAAAAGTGCCATGTAATCTGGTGTCACACGGTGAGACTCTGAAATCTTACGCATTTAGAGGTCATTTCTGGGAGAAGGCTTAAGTAGCTGCTGAAAAGGTTCTCGACAAAAGTGAGGAAAAGTTGCTTAAATTTAGTCGATATCGAATAAGAACCACATGGGATGTGCTACTGCAACTCGCAGGGCAAATTATGCCTCAAGGAAACGTACGTCAACACATAGAATACACAAGACATGCAACCATCTTAGTTACCACAGTGATCCAATTCTTCTAGTTGCTGGTGTGCTAGGTTGGGTGAGCAAATGTTAGCTAAAGTAATGATGAGCTGCCGCTATAACCGCACCTTGGAAAATACCCATTATACATTAAAACACCTCTTCACTGACCCTGATGCTGAGAACTATTCCTCCTCACCACAGACAATGCGCAAATCTTGTAATTCCAGTTCTTTTTATGGTTGTTTATTGGTGCATTGTCGCCACTTCAATAGATCTGACAAGAGAGTGCTAAAGTGGTGTGGAATTGTCATTAGCTCAACCGTTAGAATGGAGGACAAATTCTTAGCTCACCAAGCCAATGAAGTGACTTTTGAAGTCAACGCAGAAGACAAATGGGTTGTGTTTGCCCTGGAACTGTTAAGCAGAAGGGTGACTTTAGGTGAAGCTGGAAGTATTGACTCAACAGAACATTGGAACGCATTCAATAGGCGAGAATTTGGCCTCGTATGACAACTATTAAACGCATATTTGTTACGCCTCTTGATGCAATCGTCTCCTCATCCGTGTCAACGCTTTTGCATACCGCATGAACGAAAAGTGACCACAGGAAATTATGAGGACTGTTGTTCTCACAATGAAGTGCCTTTCAACATTAACTAGTAAACCAACTTGTTGAAGGAAAGGTGGGAGTAAATGCGTTTGCAGTAATGATGGCAGCCGCCGAAATATGGTGCGTAGATTGAGCCACCCTTTATGCATCTTCGCATTTGTCAGGTTGCATAAAATTCAGTCGAATTATTTTTGATGTGTTAATCATGCCACCTACTACCACCATCAGCCGCATCATCTTTCCCCATCATCAATGTCTCAACGCCTCATTTTGACAGAGTCGCTTTCAAGCTCTCACATATTTCACTTTGAGATACGCCGGTCAAAAGCGATGACAACTAGTTGTTTGCTTATGTCAAGGCAACCAAGCAGGCATTCACCTTGCATCAAGTTCAGGCTCGTGGATGCATAGCGTTGGTGTCTTCTGCAAGGTGTAGCAATAACTTCCAAATTTCACTTGAACACAATGCCCGCCCGTTAGCGGGCCTTACCTTCCTCCTTTTTGGGAGTAGATAAAGGATTCACGATGCATGACACATGAACATCCACTGCACAAGGAATTCGCCCTAATATAACAGTGCTCCACAGCGTTGGACGGTCCAAAGCAACTGTCCGGAAAAGTGGGTGCTCTTTCCAAGATAAAATGCTAATCCTTAATGTGGAAAATAGTTTGCTTACATTGCGACTGCATGCGGAATCGCGTCGAACTGAAGTGCTACATTCATCCAGCTCGAGATGCTCTTCAACGGAGGCCATGAGCGCGAAATTTCTGAGTGGCATTTATTTCGATTAATTTGTTTGCCTTACACTACTGCATGTGTGCAAACTCACATCCCATAGCTGCGGAGGGCCTTTGAGCAATGCTGTTTGACCCAAACTAACACACACCCTTAGCTGTAGTGAATGGGAATGCAACAACAAGTCCTCAGTAAAATTCATCATATTGCTATGCAATTCACTCTTCACCAAGTTTCATTGCTTTTTCGATGCTTTAGCTTGGTAAAAGGAATGCATCATTAGAAAACAGCTCTATGGGTGTCATTAATCCTCGTGCAGCCTAAATGTCCAACTTACGTGCACTGTTTGGAGCCTGAGTGCCAATAAAACAGCATTTATTGCCCCTATGTGAGGAGATCATGTTCACCCAATACGTCTAGCTGATAATTTACGCGTTTGGTGGGTCTAAATACAACACTGCGAAGGCTCTGATTACTTTTAATAAGCCATAATACGGCTGCACTTCTGTTCTACATTTTTTGGTTCCTAATGCATCAGTGTAGCCAAGGGAATAGCTGTTTGATTAACACAGAAATGCATGCTCGGTAGTTGGAGCTAAATATGAATGACTTGGGAATAGAGACAGTGTCTTGATTAGTTCTTTGTAGATGCAAATGCCAACTGCAGTACTTTGTTCGAGTGATATTTGCACGGCGCACGAACTCGTCTCGCTTCGGCAGGGGCCATAACCCTGTGCACAGGTCAAAGCAAAGAGTGTGGAGCATCGAACATGGTTCTGGAAGTGACACACAGCAGAAACGAGGGTCACGCTCATCAAAAAATTGTCCGAGCTGCATCACTGCTATTGTTATTTGCAGGACGAACAATCGGTTTGAGTGTGCGGATAGTGAGGCCTTTGAATGACCTCCACGGTTTGTAACTGCCTGCTTTTCGGTAGGTAGGGGTTGATCCGTTTCACTTAAATCTGAAGCAGTGGTTCAAATCAACAAGGTGATTTGAAAATGCAGTGGAAAGGACAATAAGGCGAATCATGGTGAATTTGGCTTTGCATTGTAATCCCTTGCTGCATTGAGTTATAAAATTTAACATTCATGCAAAATTTACAAGTCACATTTATGAGTTGAAAGTTTTATGGAAGACGGGGAGCCCACTTTTGTTAAAAACGAGAGACTACGCATTGCTAACACAGGAGGAGGTGGAGATGCATTGAAATAAACATGCGAAATGAGTAGGCATTTGCACTGCCTTTAGTGATTCGCTGTTCTCACTGCGTTAGGAGGCAAATTCACGTTATTTTTTGCATTTAGGCAGCTGATCTTCACAGATGACTTGCTTTCCCCTTCTCCAGCTAGTGATCCGCCATAGAAGTAATGGATCCGTGCAAAATTTTTACTGGAAATAATTCTCATGTATTTCATTTGGAACGGCACTACTTCATTGTCAGCTGAATGCGTTAAGCGGGAGGCAGATTTAGCGCAAACGCATGTGCGTTGTGTAATTGATGGAACTTAAGTGAGTTACTTGACGTGGTAATTTTAGCAAAATATAATCTGAAGGGATTCTGCAAGGTAGAGGTTCTCAAAGCCCAGTTGGTTAGATGGCGAAGAGAGTTAGTCGAGAAGGCGAGGGAATGGAGTCACAGGCCACGTTGGATGTTTGAGGGCCTTGTGGTCAGAGCAGAGGCTATGCAACGGCCGTGTCGTCAAGGCCAGTGATGCGGAATGCTGCCGTGCACCTACCCTCATTTGAGACAGGAAAGTTCCCTGATCGTTTCAACCTACCTTTCACGTGAATAAATTATGTTTTGTTTCATGGCCTAAAGCAGTAAATTTTTCTTTCGTCTGTTTAAAGTATTCCCCAAGGTAAACCTAGCGGTTACGTTCACATGCATGACCAAAATTTGCAATGATTTATGGTGGAAGCAATGACTATTGAGAGAAGGCGCATTCAAAATTAAAGCTAATACGTACACTGTAGCTGTCTTGCTACATGAATTACAGGACTAACCTAAGCGACTCTAAATCATTTGATTAAATTTAAACAATCAACTTACAAACAAGACTACGAAAGTTTTGGGACTTTAAAATAGTTCTTTAGAAAAGCAATTAATGAAATGCTGGAAGGACCTGCAAATGCACTCCCAACGACCATTGCTGATACACCTGTCAAACGGTAAGACCTGCAGTTGACCAGCCAATTTAGCTAGTTACAATCAGGAAGTTGCTGCTACCACTTTTGTTATTGACCAACTTCCAGTTTTTATTGCAAGTCCACTTTTATTCATCTCACAAGAACAGCAATTTGCAGTAAGTAGAAGAGAATTGCACGACGATCAAAAGGAGAAACAAAACTCAGTGAATCCGAAAGCTTGTGCCCCCAACAGCCATCAAGTCACGGGCCATTTTGAGTGTGAATGATAGAACAACTACACTGCAAATATTCGTGCTGGTACTGCAGATGTCCATGCTGCCATGCAAAGGATTGTGACAATCTTCGGCATTTGCGAAAAGATGCAAATGTTCGTTGCATGCATTAACTGCCAAAATGACAGGGTGGATACCAAGTGAGCCGAGTGTTTCACAGTCTACTTCTCCCATTCTAGTGCAGCATGAACGCAATACTAAAACACTCAGTTTGAACAATTACTCATCTCCAAAGAGGAAAATGTGGGTCATTAAAAATTCACTCAAAACAAAGCTCAGAGTGCGTAACAGCGCGCACTGTTTTAACTACGCACAATCCTCACCTAATTGGCACATTGGGCATAACAGTGTGGAAACCTGCCTGTGAAAAGTGATGCTTTCAAAATCCACTTCAACATGCTTACAAAAAAGTCTGCCTTGTTTGCAGGACCAATGAGTGCAAAGGAGTTCGTGCTGTTCTGTGCGGAACTGCAGCTGGTTTCGGGTTCGCATTAGGCTGTGAGGCTAAAGAGGGAGGGGAAAATGACAAGTGACGAATGAATTGCTGCAGACAAATTTGCAACAAAACTTGGTGTTACTTTTGGTGACTTCAAAGTATTGTTAAATCGCATTCAACGCCTATTTTCGTGGGTGAGTTTTCTGTTTGGGTGGCCTCCGACATTCGGCTAAAATACTCACACCGTTGCAGAAACTGTTGCTCAAACTGCCAGATTCGTTAATGATATTACTAAAGCAAGCAAAATGCACATCTGCTTGAGACGGAGAGTGTGTCATGCATGCTTTGAGTAGCCTCACCATCTTTATTTTTTGGAGTCTTTCAATTCACTTTGCTGTTGTTAAAATCGTTTGGCCAGAACAATGCGCT